ACGTGTTAGAATATAATGTCAAAGAATGTCTAACTTGATTGTGAAACTAGTAGTTGGGAGGTCATTTAGACCATGTTTATTGTCAGAGCTACAATCATTTGCATTGCTTGAGGGTACAGTGTACATGTAATACTGTAAAAGTAGAAATATTTGTGGTACATTAATTTTTGCGGACTTCGCGCTAAGATCGGCAAGCGCGAATTTTAGAGCTGGCGAAAGTATAAGCATGACTTCTCATACATGTACGTATTTTGAACGGGCTGAATGGCTTGCAACGCGAATTCAAGAACCAGTGAATATGTTTTGAGGTGGCTCTACGCGAAAAATTAATCATGTGAAAATAACAGCGTTTGCAATATACCTGTAACTACTAACAGCTGGTGCGAGTCACATAGGTTTGCAGACAATATACATGTACATGTACGTGTATGTACAATGTACGCCTCTCCCTGTTTAATAAGGCTTGTTCAGATTCACATATGACGCGGTCAACCACCCCAAAAAATGGCCTCGTTTTGTTTTAAACGTTGAAAATGAATGGCAACTGCACACAACAAACGATTTGTGCATATTAACCGACCTCTGTGTTATATTAGATACCTTGATGTGTAGCCTATACTTTAACGTCATCATAAACAAAATAATGCCTTGGTTTATAACCGCCTCATATTTGAACAAGCTTTTAAGGGCACATAACAACTAATAACAGCTGCCGCCAGTTACATCGGTGTAATGTGCACACAGGTGATGGACCCCAATTCTTTGCCAGAGTTTTTAAAGGTAATACAAAGTTTTGGGAAATTTTGAAAATTGGGTAGATAGGGATTCTTTACAATTTTGATGGATGCCCCAGTGGATGTATTAGAAAATTTAGCCCCTAAAACACTTCTGCTTTCGAGAAAAATTGAATATAAAAATGTACAGGTGCTTCCTGTAAATTTTGATAAATTTCAAATAGCGCCTACGGCCGTACAATGGTAGCTGCGACCATGAAAATCTCAGAATGTAGTTTGATATATAATTTCCAAACAGGAATAGCTAATTGGTTCATTTTAGTCAAGAAATATTGTTTCATAGCTTAATTAATATCTTGACCTTGAGAGGGAGCTATACAACATAAAAAGTTTATGATTATTTCATAACTTTAGACTTGATTTCAGCCGCGTCAAGGATCATTGAATATATATTATTATGCTTCCAATATGTTCATTTGAACCAAATTCATGACCCCATATCAAAACTTTGTATTACCTTTATCATGGCTTAAACCTCCTTTTTTTTAAAAGGCATTCAGACTTTATAACATTCATTTATTACTGTACATGTAATATGTATTCAGCCAAGCTACATGTACATGTATGTGTCTTGTTTAAATAGTGATGATTTTTCCTTCAGTTGTCTGTTTACCGAAGCATGAGAACTTTGCTCAATGTTATTGTTCGTCCTTGCTCTTTGTAAGAGTAAAAGCGCTGGGGTTTTTGACTATTAAATACATTGGATTGCAGTGGTGTGAAATGGTACATGAACAGTGTATTTTCTCATTCAACCAAATGTGTGTTGGCAATGATGATTTCATGTCAGTCATCTGTTTACCGAAGCCAAAGAAACCCAAAGAACTTTGCCCAATATTATTGTTTGTTCTCTGTTTTGTGTGTGCTTAGGTTTTGTTTGACATGGAGACGTTGTTTGGTTTTAAGAGAGATTAATTAATCAGTGTAGCCTCTAAGGATTATTGATAAACTGACACATGTACAGTTGACAACTACACTATCCATACCCTTTACCACGTTTTGGAGCTTTATAAGTATGTCGAGTTGGAGTTGAGTTGAGTTTATTGGTTTCACATTACACATGCAGATTCAATACAGATAACAAACTAAACGTATGGGGAAAATGTGTTTGTCCCAATTATGTGTCTTGAGATTTGAGAATGTGACATACTGTACATCAGCACATGCACTTTATACATGTAGCTCACATCTTAAAGGTACTACATGTATGTCCCATTTGCAGGCCAAAAAATGAAAAAGTTAAATTCCAACTGCATTTGAAAGATAATACTAATTTAGAGCTTCCCTAAAAAAGGTGGGGCTTGAAAATGTCTTCAAGTGGGAAAATAACAACTATTCGTTGTCAAATTGACTTTAGGGCTATAGAGCTCAAAAGTAATAGTCTTGATTTTCAGATAATTGTACCGAATGGTCATACGTTTTATGTTGCGCAAAGATTCAATCAGTTTAATCTTGGCCATCACAAGAAGTGGGTTATTGATGTAGACAAATGCTCATGTACCCTTTACAACTCTTTTCATGTATGTTATTACCAAAGAAGAAAAAAAGCCAGTCAGTCACTCAATAGTGTCTGACAGTAGAGTCTAGCAAGTAAATGGGTTTCCTTGCATAATTTGAATATGAGGACACTGCTAACGTTTAAATTTCACAGATAGGACATACATGACATATTTATAATTCCTGCAAAGTTCTACAGAATTTGAGGTTGGCTGCAAAAGGGACATAGTACCTTTAAAGGCACACTGTCCTACTTGTAGCTACTAGCTCCCCCTATATAGAAAACTTCCCCAATCGGTGCCTGTTGGTCCCCCATGATCCTCTTTTTCTTATGTTAAATGAGAGCTGAGTTAATGAGATAGCCACCTGTCACAGTGACCTCGCTGGCTCGCTGGGTGGTCTAATCCCTTCTGGCTGAAGTAGTAAAGCCTGCCTTTAAAGTATTCAACAAAGGTATTAAAGGCACGGATTCAACCAGTACACTTTTCATTCTTGAGCTGTAAAAAATACAAAAAACATATATAAGCTTTAAAATCCTTAAAGGTAGTACAAAGTTTTGGTATGGGGTCATGAATTTGGTTCAAATGAACATAATGGAAGCATATGCGATCCTACAATATTCAGTGATCGTTATCGCAGTTGAAATCGAGTCTAAAGTTAGGAAATTGTAAATAATTAACTCTTTATGTTGTATAGCTCCCTCTCAAGGCCAAGATATTAATTAAGCTATAAAACAATGCTTCTTGACTAAAATCGACCGATTAGCTATTCCCGTCTGGAAATTTTATATCACAATTACATTTTCTGAGATTTTCATGGTCGCAGCAACTATTGTACGGCCGTAGGCGCTATTAGAAATTTAACAAAATTTACTGGGAGCACCGGTAAATATTTATATTCAAGTTTTCTCGAAAGCAGAAGCGTTTTAGGGACTAAATTTTCTAGTGCTTATAATTCATCCACAGGAGCATCCAAATATATCAAAATTGAAAAGAATCACTATCAACCCAATTTTCAAAATGTCCCAAAACTTTGTATTACCTTTAAATTGGCAACACAGAGAGATTTAAAAATCTTTGTTCTTCTATCAAAATTTGACATATTTTCATTTTTCGACTACCTGTACCTTGTTGTCTGTGTATGTCTCATAGAGATTTTACATTTTATTTTAACAATGTAGCAATAGAAGGAAAATGTTATTGTTGTCAATTTGAGGAACAGTATGTGATCAACTCATCCTCAGGCTTCAAAATAAATCCTGTCCTAAAGGGGTTAACTCTACATGTACAGTATGCAACAGTGCCCTTTGGTAAGGCATTAATCCTCATTACCAGGTCCCTCGGAGTGGACCTAAAGCCTCTGGTCCTCTGGTTGCTTACTATAACAAACATTTATGCTTTCTTAGCAGTGAGGTAAAATAACCACCACTAAACTAAAACTAACGCCTCATGGCTCTTTGCATTGGGGAGCACACTTCTGTACCTGGACCCCGTTTCACAAAGCCTTTTTCCAGGGCTGTCAACCCTCCCGCATTTGGAGGGAGTCTCACGCCACCACGCTCATTCTCCCGCCGCCCCAAAAGCTTGTAGCGGGAGACTCCCGCCACCACGCCTTCCTCCCGCTCTCCCTCCAACTATGTACATGTAGAATCTCCCGGTTTATGAAAAATCCTCCCGCCAAACCCACTAAAAAAAAAAATGTGCTCTTACCCCCCCCCCCCCCCCCCCCCCCCCCCCCCACTTATTCAGCAGCTGGCTGAGTCGTTGCGAATTTTTTCCCGCTTTTAAATTCAGCGGCTGGCTGGATTTGGCACTTCATATTTTCTCCAAAAAAAATCTCCCTCCAAGCAGTTTCCCAAATTTGACAGCCCTGCTTTTTCAATGACAAATGACAAAAATCAGTGACAAATCTGTTGATAACCAATCAGAAGCAACTATTTCAGTACATAACAGAAACTGTCATTTGTCGCTGATGACAAGTTTTGTGAAACGCCCCCCAGGTCCCTGTCTGTTCGCATTGTACTGTACGTGGGCAGTCATGAACATTAGTGCTATTATAAGGCCAGACAGTGACAGTACGTCTGTGTGAACCGTGTCCTTGTTGGGTGATTAGCGTGTTGTGGTGTCAAAATAGACCTAGACCGTTATGGTGCAATGCATTACGAGTAATGTTGTGAAGTTGTACTAGATATAAAATTCATTTTCGTTTTGTGGGGGAGGGGGATTGCTACGTCTGTGTATTTTTGCAAGCTTAATACTGCATGCTTCTTATGTACATCATGTATGCAGGGGGAAGAAAGGGATATGAATCCAGGTATATATAAAAATTAAATATTATTATTACATGTACACACATACATGTACATGTACATGTAGGAATAGGAGTGTAATTTACATGTACATTGTCTGTAGTTACAGGTACAGAGAATTATAATGTACATGGACCCACAGTGTATACACATATGTATGGTTGCAGCTGGTCATTCAAAGGCCTATGTGTACATGTATGTGTATTTACACGTACATGTACATCCTATGTTTCCTAATTGATGTATATACAAGAACATGTCCATTTCCAGCTTCATGGCTGCAAAATCGGATGATCAATAAATACACTATTAGTAGCCTACATACTATAGTAGATAATTTGATGACATTGACAACGAGAAAGAACCCTCAATTAATATTCATCTCTCTCTATTTCATCTCACAGATTTCATACTCATAGCATTGATTGACGCAGGGGTCAAGCAGAGGTCAAAGGTCATTCAATGAAGATGGCACAGACGCAGGAGTATGGAACGACATACACTCAGGACAAGGTCACCAAAGCTAAGGTCACGCTAGAAAGCTTCTACTCAAATCTCTGGATGCAGAAAGAAGAAAGACTAACAAGGTAATGTGTTTTTTATAATAAATATATATTGATATGATCATATATATAGTATAATAATGACAGAGAAAATTTAGACCCACTAGCACTCAAGAAAAAGTGAAAAAAGTGGCACTGCGCTAAACTAATGGTCTATAGCATCACTTTAAAGAGAACGTTGAGTTCTGGGAAGCGGTGAAAAATAATTTGTGAGCGTTATCTTTTTTTTTTTATACAAGTGTGGAATAACTTCAGATAAAAAATGTTCCCTGAAAAGCATGGCTCTTCAAATGTCTTAATATTCAAAATATGGCATGTAACATCATCAAAATCTGGACAAATTTGTATGCCACATGTCTGTGTAGTAACCCCATCTTTCTGTGTACAGTGCTCGTAACTTTACAGAGACTGGGCCAAATTTCTTATCATTTTGATGATTCCAGAACCGTGCAGTACACACCAATACTTATGTGCTAGATGATCAACCTTTTCTGATCGATTGCACAACGTTTCTTTCACAATGCAATCGCATGACTAGAACTCAACTTTATGTAAACGATAGAGTTGTAACAGATTTTTTCCCCCGAGAGGGTAGAAAGTGTGGAGGATAGTGTCTTGCAAGGAGGCTAGGTTTGGTGAAGTGCGGACGGATGTTGTGACAGCGGGGTTCTCATTATAGAGCTGGACCTGGCAGGAGGGCGTCAACAGTGTCCTAATTATATGGGACTAGACCAGACCAGGGGCAAAGCTGACGGACAGACTGCCTGACTGTGTACAAAGGGGCTCTCATTGCAGGAATAGACCAGGAAGGGAGTCTTCAACACTGTCCTAAATATGTGGGACTAGACCAGAGGACTCTTCTTCATGATAGACCACATATGTACATGTGTAGTCTATGATTATGAATTAAAGGTGTTTTCCTTACAGAAGTTGACCTGGGGGGTGTTTCACAAAGCCTTTTTTCAATGACAAATGACAAAAATCAGTGACAAATCTGCTGATAACCAATCAGAAGCAGGGATTTCAGTAGCTTATAACAAAAATTGTCATTTGTCACTGATGACAAGTTTTGTGAAACGCCCCCAGGAGACTCTTCTCCAAGATAGAATTCTTGGGTACCGTATTTGTCGGCGATAAGGCCGCACCCCCAACTTTGACATTTCAAAGAGGAAAAAAAAATTTATCATAATTTTCTTGTAGAACACTATTTTTTTTTACAAACTGATACCAAATTCATCAATATTCTTTTAAATTACTGGAAGTTTAGCTAAACAATGATCGCAGGCAGATTTGGTGTACGATATATACCCCTACCACAATGTATGGTGTTAAATGCGAAATTGCATAAAATGGATACAAAATGGCGACTTCTGCGTTTGCGGCAGCTCCGTATCGGTCCCTTCTCTTACTTTTGCAATGCATTGGCACAAACTTAGATCAAGATCTATCAGCAGATGTTGTTTAAGGAAGTTTATATTTGTCTTCATGTCAACAATGCAAGATAAAATTGTCAGTAAGATGTGTGGAAATGTCCTGTACCATAGTTATTGTAGTCCCATATGTACAAATTCGTGCTGTTTTTTCATGGTTTTGACTTGCAATTTTTTTTTTTTTTATTCTTTCGCCGCAAAGGCCGCACCCGACTTTTTGATATTTTCTCTTCCAAAAATATGCGGCCTTTACGCCGACAAGGTATACATGTGAAGAAATTTAGTAAAAATAAAATCCTCCCAAAATATTGGCTTACTGGGGTCTAGGCATACATTATTCACTGCCCCCAGTATAAGAGTTTCTCTGAGCGTGCTTAGGGACTGCATTTTTAAAGGGGCATGTTCCCTGTATTCCAGAGGGCGTTCAAAATACGTACGGGCTGGTGGACAGGCTATAGCTGCCTATTGACACCGACAGAATACGGCTCTTACGCAGATGGCATGTTTTGATAACTACACTGGTGGGAACGTGCCCCTTTAAGGAGGTTAATCAGATCATTTTGTCAGATGAAAGAAGTAGATCAGCACACACACGAATCATAAGGTATGGGAATCACACTCTAACCCAAGGGAAATCTAGTAGACAGTCAAGAAAATTGGACCTGATTTATGCATCCTCGCTGAGATGTTCCCCCCCCCCCCCATTTAGACTACCAAGGTTTGCTGTATACATGTACAAAAAACATGTACATTTAGTTAATATACAAAACGGTGTGTAATGTGTATAGCTGTCAGGATAAGCTGTTCATTAAGTCAAATTTTGTATATATGTAGTCTGAATGTCATGTGAAACAAAACGTAGACTGTACATGTATATGAAACAGATGTCTTTGCTACATTTCAATAAAAAACCATTAAGAATCAGGGTTCACTTCAATTATTAATTGTAATAATGTAATGATGTATAATAGGGAGAGACTTATTGTTAATGGACATTGATGTTTGACCACAAGTCAACTGACCTCTAAATCTTCCAAACAAATTTGATTCTGATAGCTGACAATGGTGATGTCGTGACACATGCGCAGTGCCTTAAAATAATGTCTCACGTAGCAGTCCACTATGTTGACGTGCAAATCTAAAAGTCCCTATTGTTATCCAGTCTCAGTCAGTATGCCCCTTTTGCCATACAACGATTCTTTTAATACACAACGTTTCTGTAAAGTGAATTTTATATTCACTTTGCTGTAGTGTGAACGGGCTAATAGGTGTACATGTGTAGGGCTTCTGAGATTCGATTCTTGTGAACTTCTTAAAATATCACGCACCTACCTCTCTCTCTCTCTCTCTCTCTCTCTCTCTCTCTTGAGCCTCATTTATTATTCAGTAGGACAGAGTTTGAAGAAAGTTTGCTGGTGATGATGGCTAGATGATGGATAATGGGGAGATTGATGAGTGAGGGAGGGAGAGAGTAAGAGAAGAGATGGGAAGAGAGAGAGACAGAGAGAGAGAGAGACAGAAAGAGAGAGAGACAGAGAGAAAGAGAGAGAGAGACAGAGGGGGGAAGAAAATCAGAGGGAGAATGAGATGTAGATGAAGAGAGAGAGAGAGAGAGAGAAAGAGAGAGAGAGAGAGACAGAGGGGGGAAGAGAATCAGAGGGAGAATGAGATGTAGATGAAGAGAGGGGAAGAAAGAGAGAGAGAGACAGACAGACAGAAAGAAAGAGAGAGAGACAGAGGGGGGGGGGGGAGAAGAGAATCAGAGGGAGAATGAGATGTAGAGAGAGAGAAAGAAAGAGATAATGAGTGACATAGGAATTCAGAAAGATAGAGAAGATTAATAGAGAAATGGGAGAGAAAGGGTGCACGGTTTTAATCTATAAATAGATGTTTGCATGAAGAGGAATGAATGATTGAATATAGATAAGTGGAATAGTGAGATTGCTCCTGTCAAAAAAAAAACATCTTGGTGCCCCCCCCCCTCTCTTTTTCCTTTTTTCTCTCTTTTTCGTTCTCTCTCTCAGTGTGTCCACACACAAAACAATTTATCCCGAAACTCTATAACGAAACGTCGTATAAAGAATCATCGTATAAATTTCAGAGTGTCCACACACAAGAAACGTTGTATAAATTCCAGGATGTCCACACACAGAAGAAAGTAATCCTGAAACTCTACAGCGAAATGTTGTATAGGTGCGCAGTTTGCTACAGCGGTCATGAAATGGAAGCGGAAATGAGAGGTCTGGTCTCCTTTCGCTCGAGGTCACGTTAAGCCCCGCCCAGTTAGTTACACTAGTTACACTCCCCCTGTCCACACACAACATTTTCCGTGATTAGGCATGATTAGGCGTGATTCTTTATTGAGTTTCAGTTCGAAACGATGCCCAAACCTGCGTTTCGTTAGACTAGTTTCGTTATACGACGTATCGTTAGTGAGCGTCCACACACACAATTTAATCGTAAAACTATCGCGAAACGGTATCACTATCGCAAAACGGTATAGCTATTCACGGAAAATGTTGTGTGTGGACAGGGGGTATTTCTATCTACTTCTCTCTCCCTCTCTCCATCTCTCTCCATCTCTCTCCATCTCTCTCCATCTCTCTCCATCTCTCTCTTGGTGGCCAGTACAAAGGGTCACCTTTCTGACATTTACCAAGCCCATAATACATCTCGCCCACGAGCCCGTGATTGAGTACTCCCACTCCCGTCCTTTGCACATGCAGATAGATGTCCAGCCATTTAGGGCACACTGGTGTCATGTGGACGTGTGTGGGGTGGGGAGGGGGGGGGGGAGGGGAGAGTACTAGTCCTCCTAGGTGAAAATGCGGTAACAGGCAAGACTGCTGAGTTTCGTTCAAGAGAGTGCAATCATTGTCAAAACTTTTTTGTTGCCTCCCCTCTCTCTTTTCCCCCATGTCCCCCTTTTTTCCTTCTTTTTCCTCTTCTCTCCTCTTCTCTCTCTCTTTATTTTTCTACTCTCTCTTTTTATGCCTCCGCCACCGAAGGTGGTGCCGGAGGCATCATGTTTTCGGGTTGTCCGTCCGTACGTCCGTCCGTACGTCCGTACGTCCGTCCGTACGTCCGTCCGTCCGTCCGTACGTCCGTCCGTCCGTCCCGTTTGACCGTTATCACAATATCTCAAGAACCATTTAAGATTTAAACTTAAAACTCAGGAATAGTATTTATCACCATAGGAAGACGATCTGATTAGATTTTGGAGTACGTAGGTCAAAGGTCACAGGTCACAGAGGTCAACTTATGAAATTCCTTGTATTGAGTTTGTTAGCGCGATATCTCAAGAACCATTTGAGATTTAAACTTCAAACTTAAGGATAGTATGTATCACCATAGGAAGACGATCTGATTAGATTTTGGAGCACGTATGTCAAAGGTCAAGGGTCACAGAGGTCAACTTATGAAATTCCATACATTGAGATTGTTATCATGATATCTCAAGAACCACTGGAGATTTAAACTTCAAACTTAGTGATAGTGTGTATCACTATAGGAAAACAATCTGATTAGATTTTGAAGCACGTATGTCAAAGGTCAAGGGTCACAGAGGTCAACTTATGAAATTCCATACATTGAGATTGTTATCATGATATCTCAAGAACCACTGGAGATTTAAACTTCAAACTTAGTGATAGTGTGTATCACTATAGGAAAACAATCTGATTAGATTTTGGAGCATGTAGGTCAAAGGTCAAGGGTCACAGAGGTCAACTTATGAAATTCCATACATTGAGATTGTTATCATAATATCTCAAGAACCACTAGAGATTTAAACTTCAAACTTAATGATAGTGTGTATCACCATAGGAAGACAATCTGATTAGATTTTGGAGCACGTAGGTCAAAGGTCAAGGGTCACAGAGGTCAACTTATGAAATTCCATACATTGAGATTGTTATCATGATATCTCAAGAACCACTGGAGATTTAAACTCCAAACTTGTTTAAATTGCTCTATTGCGGAGGCATCATTTTCGACTGCGCGCAGTCAAAATTCCATCTAGTTTTCTTCTTCTCTCTCTCTTTTTTTTTTTTCCCCCCTCTTTTTTCTTCTCTCCTCTGTTGTGCTTGTTTGTTGTTTGGTGTTTGGGACAAGTGCCTTTTGTACAAGCTTAAAGTGTTTATCCCACACAATTTCAATTTTGATGACAATTAACATCATTTTCCTTACACATATGAGAGTCAGATATAGTATGCTTCTACCGTTTTCAGAAAACAGTCCCGTGCAGTGCCTGTGAGGTAGGCTAAGGGTGACTGTCCAAAGAGAATTAGTGTTGACATGCATTGATATCCTCAAGGGAGATCCGGTATTAGCCGAAGGTGTAATGGTGTCTCTATTCATAATGTCAAGTGGACGTTAACATTTATAAAGTCATCTATTAATCTTTGCTGTGTGTATAAAATACAGTACAGGCTTCATATGTACAGTTAAAGATAATAATAATAGTGGGTTCTTGTATAGCGCTCATGTCGGTCAGATTTGACCCTCCTGGCGCTCCCGATTATTACCCTGGCTTTAGCACGGCTGCCATAAGCTTGAGTTCTAGGAATGATAGAAAATAAATTCTCACAGAATCCAACAAAACTTACACTGAATGTTTAAGATTACAAATAAGGAAATCAAGACAAGTAGGTCAGACACCATGACATTTTGAGCTTAACACAGGTTACTATGTGCAAATGAGAGTTTTGTTTTTTATTGCAGATGATTTCCTGCAAGTTCTTGTGAGTTTGTTTTTATTTTTCTGGTTCAAACAATCAATCTACTGGAGGATGCACTATCCAAAATGAATTATAGCCATGTTCTCTCGAAATGCAACTCCCATACCAGGGCCCCGTCTTACAAAGAGTTATGATCGATCCAAATCAATCGTAAGTCCTCCAATCAATCGCAAGTTTGCAGTCTCCTATCTCTTATGTACATAGTTACGATTGATATCAATCGCAAATAACTTACGATTGATATCAACTCTTTGTAAGACGGGGCCCAGAGCTCAAGATTAGCTTTAACAACTAGATTATTCACACCCCGTGTAAATTTTATGTTTTTTCTGTAACTCGAGAATGAAAGATGGACTGGTTGAGTACTTGTATTGTAGATGAAAGCTTTACTATGTCTCATTCTCAAAAAACATAAATTGGGCCAAATCAATTTTTCACATACATAACAAATTACAAAACTTGGCATGGTTTGAATAATTTAATTGTTAATTGTATGTCTGTACTGTAAGCCTTCATCTACATAACATGAACATGTAGTATGTGTAGAACACCTAAATTTTACATACTTCATCCTCTTTTTTAATGTGCGAGAAATTTCTCAGTTTGATTTGTACATGTACAGGACATGTATATGTATGTTTTCAATTTATGTGTAAAACTGTTAATGTAACTTTATTGTACATGTGTACATACATATCCAGTCCAATTCTTGCCCCATGGTTCATTTTCATTACTAATACTAAGGCTGTGCACAACAGTGTAATGAGGTACCTGAGTACACTCCTATGCTTACAAGCGAATACTCGAGTATTCGGACGCCTTTTTTTTTTTTTAATTTTAAATTTTTATTTATTTTTTTTTTTTTTTAAATTTTTTTTCTTGCCACCACCATACATACCACTGGAGCAGTATCCCAGTTCTGTCGCCGAAAACGCATGCAATTTTACTTTGAGTTGCAGTTGAAGGCGCCGATTTAATAATAATAATAACAGTGATCAATGCTGTTTTAAAAACCAAGGATGGCAGAATAATCCATTTTCCTCCAAGTCCAAGCAGAAATCCAGACATTTGGTCCCAGTTTCTGAGTGGTGAGTTTGACAGTGCTTGAGTTGGGAAACATTTTTACCGACGGCACCATGCAAGCGGCCGCCGCTCACCCAGGCACGGGTAAGCGTCGGCCTGGACATTTTTTTTTTTTTTTTTGCGGCCGAATATTCGGGTACGAGAAATCGTACCCGAGTAGTTGTCAACCGTGCGGGTACTCGAGCATTCGACTACCCTTCACAGCCTTAACTAATACAGTGCGTCCCAGAAAAAAACGAAACCGAGAATTATTAATGTTTTATCATAACTTAATCGCAATTATAATTAATAAATGACACATACTTATAAAGCTTAGATCCTCCTCTTTCTTTTGATGCAACTCATATGATGCATATTTCATGCATGAGTGATTATAAACAATTTGAAGAGAGGAAACCGAAAAGTTATTTGGCGGGCGGTATCTGAATTTCAAAGAGAAACTAATATTTCTAGAAAGTTTAATTTCTGCCCTTTCATATGACACCTCAATCAGGAAAAATGAGCCAGGACTAACAAAGTTCTGTTTGTTTAAAATAATGCTTGCATTTCCATAATTTGATTGAACGAGTTCATTTTCACTGGCTGCCTGCCATAGCAACAAACAGAGTTGACAAAAGACTTAACTCCGTTTCGTTGACAATCAGTCACGCATCAAGTCTTTCGTCTTCTTTATGCATGGCTGATTGTCAACGAAACAGAGTTTGTGTCATTTATTAATTATAATTGCGATTAAGTTATGATAAAACATTGATAATTCTCAGTTTCGTTTTTTCTGGGACGCACTGTATAACATACATTTTTCTTAACTGTCAATGTTTATTCCTTAGAGTTTATGAATCTTAGAGTACTGGTATACTTCCCTGTTTGACAGTTGAATGTAACCTCCTTCTCTCTCCTCTTCTTTTACAGACAAAAGAAATTAGAAGACGCAATAGCAGGACTACCAGAAGAAGATGTAAGTAGTGACAATAATAATATTCCACGTTATAGCGCTTAATACATCAACAACGTCTCTAAGCGCTTCACAGGTATATATTATTACCCCGGTCGTTCGGATTCAGGCTTTGCCGCACACGATGTATGCACGTTCTCCACTCCCTGGGGAGCATTCCAGCCAGGCGCCATTTTACTACCCATTTAACACCTGGGTAGAGAGTAGCAAATGTAAATTAAAGTCTTGCCAAAGGACATTAGTGCCAGGCTGGGATTAACAGTCTTGTACAGTCTGGCAACACCTCTACAGACTATTCAGTCTAGTTTCTTTTTTTGTTCTATTGCGTCAAGTTAATGAATAATAACATTAAACATTGAGAGCCCAAAGAGCTTTCATTTCTCTACTTGTGAATAAAATATACAGATAGTTCAGACTTGTCTGGCGATTACAGACTAGGTTTTTGTTTGTTATTTGAGGAGCATAGAATAAATCATTATAAAGATCATTAACAGTTTGAGAAATAAACCAATCTTGAGGTACAGCGCAGAATGACATCATCTCTTGAACTATGCAGATAATGCCTTTATACCTCAATCACATGAAAGAAACCTAAATCGGCTAAAGACCTAACAAAAAAAATGTCATTACCCGCTATGGCCAAAAGTCAGTCAGTCTGAAGTAACTTTGGAGATGGTTTGGCAGTGTGATTAAGGACTTTATTGCTAGGGTTATTACAAATGTATCTTATACATGTATACAGTACAACAATTTGAAATTACCATTATTGATTTCTTGAAATTTTTTGCAACAATGCCTTTTCCACTTCTAGATGTATATTTATGCCTCCGTTACGAAGTAGCCGGAGGCATTATGTTTTCGGGTTGTCCGTCCGTCCGTACGTCCGTACGTACGTACGTACGTACGTCTGTACGTACGTACGTCCCGTTCTCGTGATCGCGTTATCTGAAGAACTGGTTGATGGATTCCTGCCAAACTTTGGTCATGTACGTATCTTGTAGAGCCGATGAACTGATTAGATTTTGGGGTTACGAGGTCAAAGATCAAAGGTCACAGGGCTCATTATGTATGCAAAACAAGCTCGTGATCGCGTTATCTGAAGAACTGGTTGATGGATTCCTGCCAAACTTTGGTCATGTATGTATCTTGTAGAGCTGATGAACTGATTAGATTTTGGGGTCACGAGGTCAAAGGTCGAAGGTCACAGGGCTCATTATGTATGCAAAACGAGCTCGTGATCGCGTTATCTGAAGAACTGGTTGATGGATTCCTGCCAAACTTTGGTCATGTATGTATCTTGTAGAGCCGATGAACTGATTAGATTTTGGGGTCACGAGGTCAAAGGTCAAAGGTCACAGGGCTCATTATGTATGCAAAACGAGCTCGTGATCGCGTTATCTGAAGAACCGATTGATGGATTGCTGCCAAACTTAGGTCATGTATGTTACTTGCAAAGCCGAAAAACTGATTAGATTTTGAGGTCACAAGGTCAAAGATCAAAGGCCACAGGGCTCATTATGTATGCAAAATGAGCTTGTGATCGCGTTATCTGAAGAACCGATTGATGGATTGCTGCCAAACTTAGGTCATGTATGTTACTTGCAGAGCCGATGAACTGATTAGATGTAGGGGTCACAAGGTCAAAGGTCAAAGGCCACAGGGCACATTATGTATGCAAAAACAGCTCGTGATCGCGTTATCTCAAGAACCGATTGATGGATTCCTGCCAACTTAGGTCATGTATGTTTCTTGCAGAGCCAATGAACTGAGTAGATTCTTGGTTCATAAGGTCAAAGGTCATGGGCTCATTATGTATGCAAAAATAGCTTGTAATCACAATATTCTGAGAACCTGTTAATGGATTACAATTGAACTTGAATTCGAAAAATTTCTTCTGTTTTGGTTTGTAAAATTGCTCTATGACGGAGGCATCATTTTCGACTGCGCGCAGTCGAAGTTCCATCTAGTTTCTTTATGATCTTGATTTCAAGTTGTTCTTTACTTTTCTTGCTTTTTCTTCTCACAGAAACGGGAGAAGAGAACACAACATGCGCAGAAAGAAACAGAATTCCTCAGATTAAAGAGGTCACGGTTAGGCTGCGATGACTTTGAATCGATAAAGGTCATAGGTCGTGGTGCCTTCGGTGAAGTGAGGCTCGTCCAGAAGAAAGACACCGGTCACATCTATGCCATGAAGATCCTAAGAAAGTGTGACATGCATGAAAAAGAACAGGTTGGTAACCAGTCTACTCCTTGAATTGAAACCAGAAACTTTCAAGAATTATAAATGACAGGGATTTCCTCAGTAAGAATCTTAATTGAATTGCAAAAGTGAAGTGTGGTGTTAGTTATGATTCATCTTTTCTGTGGCATGACAGTTTTAAAAATCGTAACTACTTGTCACATTTGTTAATATTTCATGCATGTGAAAGTTTCTGTTTTTTTAGTAAAGGTAAATAGGCTTTGACAACACTTGCTCAGCAGTCACTTTCCTACTCTTAGTTCTAACTTCAACTAGGGACAAGGTATTATACCTAACCCTTATCCTAAACCTCAAATCCATTAGCAACTCGAACCCCATATCTTTGTCAAAGTAAAGGAAGGAGCAAATAGTGGATCACCAGCAAATGTAAACTCTTTGTGGCCCTGTATTTGACACACAAAATTATTGCAACACAGTATTTTTGATAATCAGAGTTTACCCTAGATCAAAGATTTATGCTTTTATATGAATTCATCAGGAAATCTTTTTGAAATGTTACTTCATAACTTGTTTCATTTCAGTTCATGGATGGTTGTTTATTAACAGAATCAAGATTTGCAGCAATAATGCAGAATTGCTCATGATTTCCAAATAAATACATTCAAAGGTATTTCATAATTTTGTGACTCTCTTCTTCTTCGTCCTGCAGGTTGCGCATGTACGAGCTGAGCGTGATATACTTGTAGAAGCAGATAATCCTTGGGTCGTCAAGATGTATTACTCCTTCCAAGATCCCTACAACTTATACCTCATAATGGAGTTTCTTCCAGGGGGTGAGTTAAGCAAGATGGTCAATTCTGCTTTTTTGTGTAGTATTCTTATACCCTCCTCATAACAGTTTCTTAGAGAGGGTGAACACTAAGATGGTTAACTCTGTTTAGGAAGTGTAGTATTCTCTGCCAAATATACCAAGTACCACTAATGGTATAGTATATACCAAGATGGTTAACTCTGCTTAGGAAGTAAAGTATACCCTGCCAAATATACCAACTACCACTATTGGTATAATATATACCAAGATGCTTAACTCGGTTTAGGAAGTGTAGTGTTCCTATACACTCCTCATAACAGAGTTTCTTCAAGGGGGTAAACACTGCGATAGTCAACTCTGTTTAAGAAGTGTAGTATATATACCCTGCCAAATATACCAAGTACCACTAATTGTATAGTATGTGAGAGGTTTCGGAGCTGGAATCTGATGGACTTGGAAGGTAAGTGATCCCTGAGTGTCAGGATCAAATCGATGACCATGCCTAGATTACAACATTTCTCCTTTGGATTGACATGGACTCACAGACTGAGAGAGGATATAGTGGGATCCTTTGCAGCATCACCTTTGAGCCTAGTAACATGAACTCAGATTTACTTCTGTTCAGTTTGAGGTTATTCTCTGTCACCCAGCTCTGCACATCTGCGCTACACTCTTCCAAGCGTTTGATAACTGAGATCAGATTATCTTCGGAAGGATGAAAGGAGAGAAAAGTTGTGTATCATCGGCATAGAAATGATGTCCGATATTGGGACTGTCGATGAGATTACCCAGTGGCTGAGTGTTACATTCTTCCAAGAGTTTGATAACTGAGATCAGATTATCTTCGGAAGGATGTAAGGAGAGAAAAAGTTGTGTATCATGGACATAGAATGATGTCCGAAATTGGACTGTCGATGAGATTACCCAGAGGCTGAGACCGCTGAGTAGAGACCGAGAATAGAAGAGGTCCACCCACAGAGCCTTGAGGGACTCCATGTGTGACAGGCTTTGGATCAGACTTACGGAAGGATGAAAGGAGAGAAAATGTTGTGTACCATTGGCATAAAAACGATGTCCGACATTGTGACTGTCGATAAGATTACCCAGTGGCTGAGTGTAGACCAAGAACAGAAGAGGTCCACCAACAGAGCCTTGAGGGAATCCATGTGTGACAGGCTTTGGATCAGATTTGACACCATTGATGTGCTGGGAGCAACCACTGAGTTAGAAGCTGAACCAGTCGAAGGCCAATGATCTGACTCCAAATGTGTTTAGTCGATCAATCAATGTAGAACGTTCCTGATAAGGAGGGAGACAATTTATCACTATTCCCTCTTACAATTTCTTTTGTGGCTGAGTGTAGACCGAGAACAGAAGAGGTCCACCCACAGAGCCTTGAGGGACTCAATGTGTGACAGGCTTTGGATCAGATTTGACACCATTGATGTGCTGGGAGCAACCACTGAGTTAGAAGCTGAACCAGTCGAAGGCCAATGATCTGACTCCAAATGTGTTTAGTCGATCAATCAATGTAGAACGTTCCTGATAAGGAGGGAGACAATTTATCACTATTCCCTCTTACAATTTCTTTTGTGGCTGAGTGTAGACCGAGAACAGAAGAGGTCCACCCACAGAGCCTTGAGGGACTCAATGTGTGACAGGCTTTGGATCAGACTTGACGCCATTGATGGAGATGCGCTGGGAGCGACCACTGAGGTAGTAGTTGAACCAGTCGATCTGACTCCAAATGTTTTTAGTCGATCAATCAATGTAGAATGTTACTGATAAAGATGGAGACAAAGAGGGAGCAATGTATCACTATTCCCCTCTTATAATTTCTTTTGTAGGCGACATGATGACGTTGCTAATGAAGAGAGAAACGTTATCAGAGGAAGTGACTCTATTCTACATAGCTGAAACAATAATGGCAATCAACTCTATTCATAAACTCAACTTTATCCATCGGGATATCAAACCAGATAACCTTCTTTTAGATGCAAGGGTAAGTACACTGAATGATAATAGGGACTTTTAGATTTGCACAACGACAACGTGGATTGCTACGATCGACGTCCTTTTAATGCGCTGCCTTGAACGGACGTCACATGTATCAGTCCTCGCAAATCTAAAAGTCCCTAATGATGATGATAATAATAATACAGTGTAAGTCAAAAAAAGTTTACACCTAGAAAATTGCTAATTGTTTTAAAAATTATCTATGAACAGTAAATTATTATACATTTTATGAAAGAGTGTTTTATCCCAAATCATTTGGTATCATTTTTGTGTGGTATGTGTTCACGCTTGGATGAACAGGAGGCATCGTTTGTGTGAGTGCAAAATTCAACTTGCGCCAAAGTAATAAATAATGAATAAATAAAACAACTGGGATTTAGGTATTCGGTCTTTGCACATCCAAAAAACATCCCTTACAAAATTAATCATGCCACACATATCGAATATCGAAAATCAAATATCAACGAACGTGTTGTGCGCGCGTGTGTGTGTCTGTGTGACTTTGCTTCTGCAAAAAGCATTATGCAATGCATTTCATTTGTTACATTCAATTCATTCTCTCTCTCCGCTAATCCAAACATAATACATACTGTAGGCATCACTTTGGCGCAAGTCGATTTTTGCATTCTCGCAAACAATGCCTCCTGTTCATCCAAGCGTGAACACATACCACACAAAAGTGATACCAAATGGTTTGGGATAACACACTCTTTCAAAAGATGTATAATAATTTACTGTTTTACAGTAGGCTTGTGGGTGCACCATGTGAGAGAGAGAAAGAGAAAGGATTGAGGAGTCCTGAAAAGGACTCTGACTCTGTAATCTTTCTTGGGGGTGTGTAGTCCTGAAAAGCACTGTATGACGACGGATAGTCAACCTGTTCGAAACGTCGAGCCACTCATCCTCTCCAAGCGCTTTAGTTCTCCTTAGAACTATAAACTAAGAAAGATCACAAACAGTCCTTTTCAGGACTACACACCCCCAAGAAAGATTACCAACTCAGAGTCCTTTTCAGGACTCCTTAATCCTCTCTCTCTCTCTCTCACATGGTACACCCGCAAGCCTACTTTATATCTACATCACCATGCAAGCCGATACTTACAAGCAGCATCTAATTTACTGTTCAAAGATGATTTTTAAAATGATTAGCAATTTTCTAGGTGTAAACTTTTTTTTGACCCACACGGTATATCTGGATTGCGTCAAGCATTTCATTTCTTTTGTCATTTTAAATTTGCAATTTTTGTTCACTTTCTTGTGTCATTGTATTTTACGTGGATCTCTTTTTGTTCCATCTGTTTGTAATTTGTACATGTTTTTAAAATATGTAAATTCAGTAACGATTCAATCGTAAAGGTTGCGAGTATTGAATATAATAAATCTTTAATCTTGAAATACTATCTCTAAGCACTTTACAGATATTGTTACCTCTATCATTGCATTCGTTTAACACACAAAGTGTGCAGCATTTCCACTCCCTGGGGAGTGTTCCTACCAATTGTGGTCTCCATGCGGGCGTATGCCAATTTCTATCACAAAGGTTTTGTTATCCTACAGGGTCCAATTTTTCTCCAGGGTGTATAGCGGCAAACGTACATCATTGCCTTGCGAGAGGATATTTTTTTTGTGTCAGGGGTCAAACCTTTGCATTTCAAGTCAACTGCTGAAACATCAACCTATTGTACCTAGAAGACTTAATGGGATCGTTTAACAATGTTAAATCTGAGATACAAGGTCCTACATGTTACCAGTGTCTGTGATACACTGTATAGTGTAATATTGAAGCCCTAAACAAATCGCGCTTCAAAATGATCAAGAAGTGCCTCAAAAAAGTAAAAAATCTTTGAGTGACTGCTTTTACCATACTCGTTTTCCCCAATAGACTGTAGTGTTATGAAAACCGTTCAGTGAACGGTTTTCAAAATTTGTAATTCCAATCATTAATATCTTGATAATCAGACAGGCGATCGGCTTGTAAAAGTCATGGAGTTCCTGACTGACCTAAAGGTTTATAATTATCATCGCAGCATGAGCTAAATCAAGGATTATTTTTAAAGGATCTAAGACAAAGTTACCGGATCCCTTTAACTTTTTCTATAAATGATGTTCATTTCTTGATTCTGTCAAATTCAGGGGCACATAAAACTCTCAGATTTTGGTCTTTGTACGGGTCTCAAGAAGTCACACAGAACAGAATTCTACAGAGATTTATCACAAGTCAGACCAAATGACTTTTGTAAGTATCTTTATTTTTACTCATCATTGTATGTGTAAAGATGGTGCAGGACAATGGTGAAAATGGCTGTCAAGTTGCCTTACTTCTGTGTCATAAGTATACACATCATGAATCTGAATACAGTTAACAAAAACGTTATTCAAGCCCCTTTTTTGTGTTGTTCATTACTCAAGAATGAAAGATGGAACGGCTGAATTGTTGAATACTTTCAAATTTAAGCTTTAATTTGCCACATTCTGAAGAAGCATAAATCAGGACTATTCAATTTTTCATATACTTGACAAATGACAAAATGTGGTAAGGGTCTGAATAATTTAGTTAACTGTATATTTCAATAACCCCAAATTCACTATCAGAGGAAATGGCTGCCATGAACAATGCTAAAAAATGTCATGATCAAAATATATCCAATCTCTTCTGAAATATATGAATTATATCTCTAAATAATATTCATTCAGGTCAGCAAAGTTTCCTGCAATGGAAATGGCCATTGTAAACTGTACAATAAGTTCCAAGGCCCAATAGTTTCTGAATAAACAGTATAAGGATAAGGATAAGGATGATGTTGTTATTCTAAACCGAATATAAATACCATCCTATAGTGAACATTGAGGAATAATGAAGAAAAAGTAACATTTAAAGTACCATTTTACTTGTATTTAGCAGATGATCATATTGTTGTCAAGTAATTTTTAGCTTGCACCCAGTAGATAAAGATCCCATGCTTGATCCTGTAATGGGAAAACCAGTCAGAAAATAATATTTGAACAAGCAGGATTTGAACCTGCAATCTACTGCTTGCCGGGCAGCGACTCTACCACCAGACCATCACTGGTTCATGGTACAGTCATGATGAACTAGAAACAAATACCTCGGCTCTTCTGACTCATTCTGACTTGTTAATATGTTCATCGATCTGCCATTATGACAATAGCTTTGTAAAAAGATACTTTACAAAAATTGGAACTTCTCACTGGAAATCTAATATTTAAAGGGATCGTTTAACAATGTTTAATTTGAGATACACGGCCCTACTTGTTACCAGTGTCTGTTATATGGTGTAATATTGTCGCTCTAAAAAAATTGCACTTCAAAATGATCAAGAAGTGCCTCAAAAAAGTAGAAATCTTGGAGTGACCGGTTTTACTATACTCGTTTTCCCCAATCAATTTTTTAAATTCCAATCATAAATATCTTGATAATCAGACAGGTGATCGGCTTGTAAAAGTCACAGGGTTCCTGACTGACCTAAAGGTTTATAATTATCATTGCAGCATGAGCTAAATCTAGAATTTTGTTTCAGAATCTGAGACAAAGTTACCGGATCCCTTTAAAGATGATGATATTCTGTAACTACCACTCTCTTATTACAGGGTCACCCATATGACTAGGAATAGTGACCCATTTTCTTCCTTTTGTTTTTTTCAGCTGCTACTACGTGTAAACCTATGGATTCCAAGAGGCTAGCAGAGAGTTGGAAGAGAAATAGAAGAGCACTGGTAAGCCACAAATCAATCTATCCCTCAGATAGGATGTTAATGCAGGTGTCATTTGTAAGACGCACCTTTTGACCCCCGGGGATGGTGCGTCATGGTTGTGTCATGTTCCCCAAAATCGCGACGCACAGTACCGTCATGGCCGCAAAATGTCCGTCACAATACTGACCCATATGTGCGTCATAGTAAGTCACTTTACCACGTTGCGTCATTTGGTGTGTCAATGGGACCGTCACTTTCTCCAAGCAGAAGTGTTTCTCAAATGTGCGTCATTGGCTAGTCATTTTCATGAAATGGTGTGTCATATGTTTGACTCAAATGTGCGTCGATGGAATGTAATGGTGTGTCACTTTCTGTGACGGAAGGTGTGTCATGGTATCAAAATGTACGACTCACATCGGTACAATGACGCACCATTCCCGGGGGTCAAGAGGTGCGTCTTACAAATGACAAGTGCATAAATGGAGGGTTTGTGTAGAGGAGAGCCACCACCTTTGCACGTTACGAACCCACTGCACTATTCGTATAAGAGAATTCATATGCTTTTCGCCTGCCAGAAACAAGGGACGCCAAATACTTAGTAATAATTAATTGGTCATTTAGCGTTTAAAAATAAGCAAGATCACTCGGTGGTAGAGCAGTGGTCTCGTTACCAGGAGGGCCTGGGTTCAAATCCAAGTGGATATGTTAGGTTTTAAGTCCCTCGGAGAGGACAGGAAAGCCGTTGGTCTCCGGTTGCTTACTTCCAAGGGTACACATGCTTTCTTAGCAGTCAGGTCAAAATAATAATCAAAACCAAACCAAATCTATATATCAGGGAAATACATAAAACTTAGGATCGGGTCTATGATATACAGTGGAATCTTGTTTTAACAAGGTCCTTGGGGCCATGAACATTACTGTGTTATATCAGGGTGAAAAAACAAAAGAATATAAAGAGCTAGGACCATCAAAATCACCTGGTTATAACAGATACCTCGTCATATCGGAGTTCTTTATAATGAGGTTCCACTGTATGCCTACGTATGTTGCACCCAAACCAAGTTCTGTCATCAATGGAATATAGTCACTTTTTCATTAAATATTGTTAGTTTTAGGAGTGCATGGTGATTTTCAGATATATAAATGTGGACGTATAATTCTTTCTTCCTCAAAGGCGTATTCAACCGTAGGCACACCCGACTACATCGCACCGGAGGTGTTCCTCCAGACGGGCTACTCCCACGTTTGTGATTGGTGGTCGCTAGGCGTGGTCATGTACGAGATGCTGATTGGTTACCCGCCGTTCTGCTCGGAGACGCCCCAAGAGACGTACAGGAAAGTCATGCATTGGAGAGAGACGCTGCAGTTCCCGGCCGAGATACCGATATCAAATGAAGCCAAAGGCATGATCCAAAGGTATCTATTGATTTGTTCATTCTTTACATCAATTTGTTTGATCATATATTATGTTATTTATTCATTTATTCCTTTATCCTGTATGGAATCATTCATATGTAAATACCTAGAAATGAACAACCAACAAAGCATTTTGTGATATAAACTGTGATGACCTCCGACCCCTCCACCTCTCTCCCCCTCTTTATCATCATCCCCCTTTCAATCATCCCCCTCTTTCTCCTCCCTCTTTCACTCTGTCTCATTCACTCTCTTTCTCTCTCTCTCTCCCTCCCTCCCTCTCCCTCTCCCCCTTCCTTTTCCTTTCACCCTCCAATCCTTATTCCCTTGCTCCCTCGCTCACTCTTTCTCTCTCTCTCCCCCTCTCCCGCTCTCTGTCCCTCTCTCCCCCTCTCTCTGGTTCTTTCCCTTTCTCTCTCTTCCCCTACATCATCCCTCGCAAGTTCTTTGCTCCCTCACTCTCACTCACTCCCTCTCTCTTTCTCTCTCTCTTTCTCTCTGTTTCTCTCTGTCTCTCCCTTTCTCCCTCTTCCCCTCCATCATCCCTCAAATGTTCTTTGCTCCCTCACTCTCACTCTCTCACTCACTCTCCCTCTCTCACTCTCTCTATCTAGGTTTTGTTGTGAAGCTGACAGGAGGGTCGGTAAGAACGGTGTGGACGAGATCAAGTCACATGCATTCTTTCACGGTGTTGATTGGGAGCACATTAGGGAGAGACCAGCTGCGATACCAACCAACATCAAGAGCTTCGAAGACACCTCAAACTTTGACGCCTTCCCTGAAATCGAACTCAAGCCAAGTATGTACATTTCTGTTTTAAAATCAGGAATTTTGTATGAAACTTGCAATCAGTTAATATTCACAAAGTGTTCATGTGCTTTCAGGTTTTTACAGTTCATCTTTTTATCCATTAGTTTTTTCTCTTAAAGGGAAAGTCCACATTGAAATTAAAGTTGGTTTCAATAGAAGTAGACAAATGTCAGGAACAGATCAGTGAAAGTTTGAGCATATTCTATTAAAGATAAGAAAATGAAAGTTATTGATTTTTAAAGTTGTGATCAATCAAACACAAATTGGCAAAAAAGTGAGAGGAACAGATCAGTGAAAGTTTGAGCAAATTTGATTGAAAATAAGGAAGTTATCTATTTTTAAAGTTGCAATCAATCAAACATGAATTGGTAACTTTGTGACGTATTTTGCAAGGATTAGGATTAGGATTAGTGTGTGTGGCCCAGTCTTTGTAAAGTTGGATTTGGCTAGAAGGATACTGACAGCGACCTAATCATTAAAGGAAAAGACCAGTTTTGGTCATGCGATTGCATTGTGAAGGAAACATTGTGAAGGAAACATTGTGGAATCAATCAGAAAAGGTTGATCATCTAGCATATATGTATTGGTGTGTACTGCAAGCTTCTGGAATTATCAAAATGATAAGAAATTTGGCCCAGTCTTTGTAAAGTTACCTGCACTGTACACAGAAAGATGTATATGGGACTACACGAACATGTGACGTAAAAATCTGTCCTGAATTTTATGTTACATGCCATTTTTATAATATTTACGCATTTGACGAGCCATGCTTTTCAGGGAACATTTTTTATCCGATGTTCTTCCACACTTCCATTATACGTTGATAACGCTCACAAATTATTTTTCACCTTTTCCCAGAAGTCAACCAATTCATGCAAGTCATTGTTTGTATATTTTGTTTTTATCTCTAACAGTTACACCACCACAAGCGACGGGTGAGCACATGAAAGACTGGGTATTCATCAACTACACCTTCAAGAGGTTTGAAGGGTTAACGCAACGAGGGATGGGTCAACGGCAGTCCACCAGCCTCATCAGGTGAAGAGAAGTTACCATGACAACACAAACACCTCCATCCCCTCGTCCCGGCTCAGCTGTCCTCCCATCTTTCTCTGCGCTTTTAAAGGCAGTCCACCAGCCTCATCAGGTGAAGAGAGGTTACCATGACAACACAAACACCTCCATCCCCTCGTCCCGGCTCAGCTGTCCTCCCATCTTTCTCTGCGCTTTTAAAGGCAGTCCACCAGCCTCATCAGGCGAAGAGAAGTTACCATGACAACACAAACACCCCCAACCCCTCGTCCTGGCTCAGCTGTCCTCCCATCTTTCTCCATGCTTTTAAAGGTCACGAGGTCACATGAAAGGTTTCTAATTCAAACCAATGTCTAAACCCTGGACTGAACTATGAGTATGCAAGCATACATCGCCCATTCATTAGACATAAGACCACGTGCATACCCCACATCAGCCTACCGCACACCACACGATCAGACTTGGATTAAATGTAATAAAGAATTTACAAAGGGTATATGATATGAACACTCAGACATGCATATTGTTCAGGATCTTGGTTCTGAACAATTCATTTATTTTGTGTGGAAGCTCCTTAGGAGAAGGAAAGTGAATTGAATTTGAATCATACTTTGATCTTCTACTCACTTTCCTTATTATTATTACAACCCTTTTCCTTGCTGCCAATGGCCTGTACATATACAGGCAGGCATTCATGTGGTCCCATATACTTCTTTTTGTGTTGTGATCATAGGCACCCTTTAACCATCCTTGTTAAAATGTACAAGTACATGTAAGGTGAAATTGTGGTGTAGTGTTTAATACACAAGACTTAAATATAACACTGCATTTACTGAATGGCATATTGATACTATAATTTGTCAAAATCTTTTTGGATGGATGGGTTGACGAGCTGAAACAACTAATCATTATATATCCAACTTTGGAAATGAACTCACAAATTATATTTAGAAATAACAGACATATATCTAAATTAGTATTCATTCGTGTAGCTTGGAAAAAGAATTTATTATTTTAGGCTGACTGTAAAATGAATGTGAAAGTTACAACATCCATTTTTCATGTAAAATTGACTGTTTTATCTCCCCCAGTGTGAATATATATATTCTTGTATATATATATATAATTATCTAGTTATGTAGTGGAGTGCCTTTTGTCTGTAAATATATTCGTCCACATTGTTTTATTTATGGAGTATACAACATTGCTTCTACGCTGACCTATGGTATGAACTAGGGTCAAAGTTCACAGGTCATAGGTCATAAGTGAATGCTGATGTGATATTATTTATTTTTTCAAATCACATAGTTTGCTAATTTACAATGAGCTAGCTTGCAGATGAAAATTATATCGTATGTTGACATTTGACCTGTGATTACTGCTTTGACCTTTGACCCATTGTTGCTATAGGATAATGACCTGGAGGTTGTACCCGAGATAAGCCCTTGCTTTCAAGTCTCGCTCTCCAGTGAAATAGGAATAGTGGGCCAAGGAATGGATTGAAAGAATTTCTGTGGTGTAGACAAGCAGTGGCGTAGCTGCAGGGAGGGGAGGGGGGTGGGGGGCACAGGGGGCTCATTGACAATACTGCCCTCTATGTTCTCTACAACATATTACATAATCTAGGGAGATTTTTAAAATTTATTTTCTTATTTTAAGCATCAACCTTTTACTCGTACATTGTATGTATCTTATTGTCAAATAATGTAGGCCTTCTTGTGAGAAATATAGAATTGTATTTTTTTCTCAATCTAGTGACCCTTTGGATATAGATTATGGACATTTTTTTTGTAAGTATGGAATGAGTTTTCATAAAAATTTACTTCCAGTGTATGCCAGATTCTTTTTTATCATGCATGTAAGCTGGAAAGCCCTTAGCAAACTTTGATATTAACTGAATATACCTGTAGTGAAACCTGTATATAGAGACCACACAAGGAAGACAAGAAAAGAGGTCTTCATAGGCACGTCTTCTTTATGTACAGTTCCCTTAGACATATCGTCCTTGTTTTCACGAAGTGACGGTAGTGAAGTAAATCGTAACGCAAAGTGAATGCAATTTTTTTTCACTACCGTCACTTCGTGAAAACAGCGACGATATGTTCCCATGAGAAACGCTGCTCAAGGGAAACAACAAATGTCTTTATAGACAGGTGGTCACTAAAGCAGGTTTGAGTGTTAGGTTTTACTGCTACACATTTCTACACAAAAGTGTCAAATATCATAACATGTCACAAAAGCTTGTGTAGAGAAGGGTGAAAAAGTTAAAAGCTGATTATTTTTTTTCTGCAATTAAATTGCCAATTTAATGTTTATGATATATAATTGTGTTTTCAAATCCCAAACATCTAAGTGACATTTGTTAGAGCAAGATAAATAGCCTTAATTTAAATTGTTTATTAAATATTCCTATTCTCTGCTCATACGTGCAGGATATTTTGAAGCCTATGAAATAAAATAATCAAACCAAACCACAAAATGTGGACTTGGTTAAAGATTTGTCAGTAATTATGACATACCGGTATACTTGTAGATCTCTGTTAAAGTAGTTATTTTGTCTAACTTTCTTTTAAATGTTCATAATTTCCGTGCAATAGCTTACTGGTTGCATATATTGCAATTGATGTATTTGACATCATACAACACAGTAACAAAAATTATGACACCGTAGTAATAAACACCATTGATAGCTGTGTAGGAATTGAAAAAAATATGTTTTCTTTAGATTAGTATATCTACAGCCTAGAGAGATTTGGACAAACGCGCAGTCACATTTGATTTACGTGGCAATTTAATTGCGCTAAATTAGGTCCATTTATGTGTTTTTGAATACCAAAGTCATACGTTGATTATGATTCTACCTGTAAATGTACCTGTAAATATTCAAGTGCAAGCAATAATAGGACTTCCTAACCATAATATAATAATACTTCATATTAATTATATGTAAGGTACATAATAGCAGAGGTTAGGTTAGCAAGGTTACAGTCGTGAGAATCATTTTTTTCTGGAGAATTCAAAGATATCTGTTTTCAGGGCCTCTCTTTAGTTGAAAATCTTGTGGTTTTGAAAGATATGGATTCTTAGAATTTAAAGCCAACTAAACTAAATGTTCATGATATACTTAGGTGGTGAAAATGATTTGCTTTTCTAATAAAGTGTAAATTTTAACACCAAAGGTGACATGATTCGATAACTCTTCATGTTTTCTATGTTATCTCTAAACAGTCGAGATGAACTGATTATCAGTAAAGAGTAGACCTAATACTCTGATTTTCCAGCGATAGGCCATTTTTGTAATTTAATCAAATTCAATGCACAAATCTTTGTTAATTACCTTGTTAAACATTATATCAATCAAGAAAGATTACTGAGAGTCCTTTTCGGCACTTTTCAATCCTCCCTCTCTCTCACATGGTGCATCCGCAAGCCTACTGTATATTATATCAATCACCATTCAATTGTATTTAAACTGTCAGAATGTGACTTGCATACATTAGTTTACGTAATGTTAGGTATGACAAGCCACAGAGTTTGTTCTACCTAGCAACAATTAATGCAAGTAATTTGTATTCTGAATATTGATATACAATTATTTGTAACATGTTAATGAAACAATTTGAAATGAGGCACTTAATCAAGATTTGTGCATCAAATTATAATTGCATTATGAAAATGGTCTATTGCTTAATAACTATAACTGAAATATTATTTGATTCATTAATTGGTCTTCTAATTTTAGCTCAAATTTGTTATCCAACAAGAGAATTGCTTCACAAAAGTGAGAAATGTTAACAGATGTCTAAAGTGAGTTGTTCACTTCAGCTCAGCTATTAAAAGATTGGAACCAATTATGGCACCTGAATATGGTTTGGAGTTTGTGACAACCATATAAATGCAAGATCATTTTTGTTCGCATTAAATGGTAGTAGCTTTACATTCATAATTCTTAATCTGTAACATGTTCCTACACCATAGTGTTAAACACCCTTTTTGTTATTGATGCCTTTCAATTTCAACAGTTTTGTCATGTATGAATCAAAAGTTTTTACGAAGACTGATGCGTGAGAAACGGTCATCTCTGCATGTGTGTTACCTTACATGGTTGCCTACCAGTATGTATGTCGGGTCGTACAGTTGAAACCACATTTAACACTGTAAAGTCTACCAGTTATATCAGTGTAAGGTGTTGATATTAAACACTTAAGTGTTAATATGTCATTTGTATCAATGTAAAGGTGTTAACATTAAACACTCAAGTGTTAATCAATTATACCATACTAACTTATCTACATATATCTACACTAAAGTGCTAGTGTTACACTTATAGCAATGTAAGAGATCCGTCACCCTACCATACCCTACCCCCGAGTGTATTATTTAACACCAGAGTGTACTCATAACCTTGAAGTGCTATAGAGAGTTCAGTGCTTGATATTCAGTGTTGCATTTCTGAGCCCATACAGAGAAGACAGATAGCATATTAAAGCAAGTGACCTAATGGAGAAACGGATGTGAATTGTATGATATGTATGTATAGCAGATACAATTATTTTTAAGAGTGGTTATTTCAAGAGAGGAGCAATGGTAATTAGTACAATCGTTCATTGACTGTTGGAAGCCGGAAGACCCTCAACTCTCAGTATATAGTAAATGTAGCCTTATATGACTTAATTCCCTTCTGGCGCTCTCAGCAGATGTTCTTTAGAATATTGTAAAGAAAATCATTCTTCTGGACATTTAAAGATGAATCTTGTTTGTTTCAGTTTACATTTTGCGGACATTTTGTTTCATCATGTTTGTTTTAAAGTTCTTTATCATTGAATTGGCCATCTGCTTAAATGCTTAGTCCCATGTCATACATTTCCTTGTCATTACTGGCCTACAGTCTTTATATTCTTCATGTGTGTTATTTGTAAAAAGATATACCATTCTTGGAGGGACAACATCATCATTTTTGTGTTCTTTACTTTACAGATGTAAGAGATGTTTTACGTAACATTGACATCATACTCAGAGAAAAAAATTATATTATTCACTTTCGTTGCGTGTATAAAATGTGTTCATTCGGAGAGTGGGACGCAGAAAGGCTCTTAAAGATATGTCTATCTGGACCATGTACAGAGTTAGATCCTTTCTTGCTCTCACTCAGGAATTGAAAGTTTCCTATGTATAGAGAAAGGCGAGAATGCTGTAGGAGTTGAACAGTCAAACATTCAGTCAAACCTGTATAGAAAGACCGTTCAAGACTGGGAGGCACAAAAGATGGCCTTTATAGGCAGGTGTTCTTTAAAGCCATACTAAACTGACAAACTTTCTCCCCTCGTTGATTAAGTTTCAAGTGTTAAGTATACTTAAGTGTTGATTGTAATAATAATAATAATAATGAATAATAAAACAGTGCTTATAAAGCACTTACCACTGAAGTATCTAAGCGCTATAACAAACAAAACATATTGATAAACAATTACATATTGAACAAAACAAAAAGGAAATGCAAATAAACCTACAAATTGCAATACATATGAAATATACATCAATGTAAACAGCGAAACTTAATCATCAAAAGCAATTTTGAATAAATGTGTCTTAAGACAAATTTTGAATTGGTTAACAGTTTTGGACATTTAAAGGTAGTTTGTTCTAGTGTCCCTCTATAAAGGGACACTAGTTTGTTCCAAAGTTAAGCGCCATCTCATGGTCAAATCGCCAACAGTGCGTAACCCAATACGGTAACTAATTCCCACTTTCCAGACAGGACTCCATACAAGACCTCTAGAGGGGATTTTGCGTTAGTGCTTGTAGTACAGTATGGCTTTAAGGCAGATTTATTTTAACACATGTTCAATGAGAAACATTGTTTCAAGGGGGGAAAAAATTGTTCTTTATAGACGAAAGGTCTTTCTATACAGGTTGTTGCTAAAGCTGGTTTCACTGTATATCATATAATATATGAAGATTACAAAAACATGATGATTACAGCATTTCTTTGAGCTTTTTAAAGATGATATATTGTTTCTTTATTTGAATTGACAGATTGTTGAAAAGCAGATATAGAGGATATTCTAGTGTATGCGGTAGGAGAGGAGAGAATTTAATTAAAACATGAAAATCAATAAACTGGGTTTGTCTTACTTGTGTTTGCTTGTGCTGTTCGTATTTTTGAAATATATTTTCACCACATTTTTTTGTAGAACGTAATTCATATCTTGGTCACTGTGTATGTGAATTGAATGTGTTGTCTATTGACTTGTGTCTGTTGTGACCCACTGTACTTGTGTGTCCAAACTAAAAACTTGACAACATCACATTGGTAGGAGGATGGAACTAACCTTAAAGGTAAAACCAGTTCTGGTCATGTGATTGCATTGTAAAAGAAACATTGTGGAATCGATCAGAAAAGGTTGATCTTCTAGCATTTAAGTATTGGTGTGTACTGCGAGGTTCTGGAATCATCAAAATGATTAGAAATTAAGCCCAGTCTTGGTAAAGTTACAATCGCTGTCCACAAAAAGATGTGGGACTACGCGACACGTGCGCGATATCTATCCGGTCCAGATAGATATAATAATTTACCAAATATATCAATTACTGGTAGTATGTGGTTTTCCGGCAAAATTTGTATCATCACGCATTAGTCAAAACATATTATTTCACATGCTTGGTAATTAGAGTTTCCATTTCATTTTTGAGAAGGGGGCGTTTCCAAAAACTGGTCTATATACCTTTAAAACAATTATTATGACACCAACAATACAAAATAAGGAACAAAAAGTTATCTCCATCTTTTCATTGAGATTAACTAAAAAGTATGATACCCTTGTCAAAACAAGTTTTACATACCGGTAGGCATATCGATGTTGAGCAGTATAACATTTATTTAGATTTACACAACAATAAGCTGGGTAACGAAATATTAAAAGTGAAAGGAAAGTGGTATCAATCAAAGCAACAATTTTGTTTGTTAAATATTCATATTTTAATTGAAAGTATATCGCTGTAATTTGTGTTCACTCATGATAAGAATGATAAGCCTCATGCAAGACACATGGAAGATAAAAGATCCTGATAGAGGTTTCAATTTATTTAACAGGAATTAGAGATGAAGAGAGAGGGAGAGAGAGAGAGAGAGAGAAAGCCAAGTACTCTGACAGAGGATAAAGAGAAGGATGGGAAAGGATAAATATCTTGAAGAGGTCAGTACAAGTATAAAAAGTTAACAAATTCAGAGTAAGAAAATTTAGAAAAATATATATACCCGGTAAATGTATTTATTAATAAAATTGTGTGGGCAACTCAACTCAGTGGACTCGCTGCCACACACTCACACAAATAAATAAAATGAGACAATTTGGTTGCCAAAGTTTCAGTTAGTGTGGCGAGCCATGGTTGCACTAGTTTCCCAAAATACAATTTTTTCAGGGGTCCCAAAATTTGGAATGACATACCGATAGATATTCGACTGAGCCCATCACTAAATAGTTTTAGAAGAAAATTTAAACTGTACTTATTAAGACAATACTCAATAGTGCAATAACCTTTATTCTTAATGTTCATCAGTGTTCATGAAAAGTGTGTGTGGTGTGTATGGGAGAGAGTGTATGTGTGAACGCAAATTATTTCCTTTTTTCTTCCTTTTATAACATATAACAAATTCAAATAATGTACTTCATTTTTTTAAATACAATTACTGGAGACAGACTTTTACATATAAGGCCCGGCCTTCCTGTAGTCTCCAAATACTTTCATTAATTTACATGTTTAGAATGTTTTCCCCTTGTTTCTCATGCCTTCTCTACTTGTGTTATTCTCATGTTATATATTGATACATGTATTATATTTCAACTTTTATATGTTTGGTTTCCTTTGTATATTTTTAATAAAAGTATTGAATAAAGTGACGAAAAAAAAAAAGTTTTGGAAGAGAAATTACCTTTATAAAAAATGAATGACTTTCCTCAAGTTCATCATATATGCATGATTCCGCCCTGGGAGAATAAGACTCGATCTGGCCCATAATATGTGGGCCCATATAGGAGTATAGGCCACAAAAGGCCACTAAATGAATGATAATAACAATGATGTGAAGTACATGGTGACTTATATACTTTAATTCGTCTAGGATATAGGCATATAATATTTGATTATGTGTATAAAGAAATAAAGCTATAGCTGCCCCCCCCCCCCCCCCCCCCCCCCGGTTTTGGCCCTTCAACTATTGTTATGATATAGGACAAGCTCCAGTGAACATACACGGCCATTTAAAAATGGCTATCTGTTCTCGATCGCCTATTGGCCAACACGCCCTTCATGCTTATCGCTCATTGGCCCATTTCAAGCCTATTCACCTAACGTGCGAAATTTGTATTCAGCTAGTGTTTTTGATTCTCCGCGAACGTTACTGCTGCGAAACGTGTTGCGAAGATCGTCGAAAAAGTGGTATGTTATTCCCTATTTTTCCTTTTTTGAAACGAATTTGTGGAAATATAGGTTTATTTATGGGTACGATGTGTCGTGAGATATAGATCTAGATGAATTTGAGGTTATGTTTTAGACAAACTTGTGATGGAGTTTAAGAATAAGAGAGAGATACGGGTGGACAGCGACCACGATTCCTGGCGTGTTTCCCCCGCTCTGCTCCCGTACCGTGTGTTGTGGAGATTCGTGTCTTATCTTGGTCACTGCTGACTGCATGTGAATTGAATCATGAATGTGTTGTCTGTTGACTGGCTTGTTGTGTGTCCAAACTAAAAACTTAACAACATCGCCTTGTTGGGAGGATACAACTTGTGAGTAGCTTGTTGTAATGATTTTTCTTTAGAATTTGTTCTAAAAACATGAAAAAACAGACTGAAGAGAACAGTGATGTGATGAGTGAGTGAACAGTAGGGGCGCTGGTCCGAGAATAAGGATCGTCTTCATAGTCTAAACGAGGATCGTCTTCTTTAACACTGACCGATGCGTCCTCAAAAATAAGGACCGTCTGCATTTTTTGCAGACCTTTCATATTTTTGATCGACGCATTGCCATTGGCGATGCAAAAAATGGATTCTGCAATGCTTTTCTTGATGCAATTTACATTGACTTTGTACAGAGACCTTCACATTATGAGCAATAAATCCTTGGGAAGACGGACAACCCATAAAAGTAGACGGACAACTAGGGTTATTTTCCCCCGGGGAATCCATTTTTGGCATCGCCAGCGGGCCGTTCTGTAACATGAAACCCCCAGAGCGCCGATGAAAAAAAACGTCCTCGAAAATGCAGACGACCCTTATTTTTGAGGTCACATTTTGTCTTCGTTTATGAGGATATCCTTGTTTATGAGGACGATCCTCATTCTCGGACCAGCGCCCCTACTGGTGAACTGTTTGAACTTTGATTGACTTTTTGAATTTGAGCATGTTCATGTTGAGTTTGAATTTGAAGTTTAGTTGGATGTTTGTTGAATTTGAACTGAAGTCAGAACTGTCAAGTCAAGACAGAACATAAGTTTTTACTCTTGACTTTCTTGTCTTGTCAATTATCATGCTTGATTCGATTCATGATTGTCTTGACTGAGCATGCTGAGTAACTCTTTCTTTTTGACTTTTTTGAATACCTTGAATACCAAAGCTTCTGGAAGAAAGCCGTCTCCAGCTGCCAAGCTTCCAGGTCTAACTTTGTTTTGGGCTCAGCTCAGAGTTCTCAGACAAATCTTGGCAAATGGATTTCATTGTAAAATATTGGTTGTGTACTTTGAATAGGTCTAGACTGAATTATTGAATTATCTGGCTGGGATTCCCTAGGGCTAGGGCCTGTACAAGTGGGGTGTCTGAACTTGAAGTTTGAATAATCTCATAAACTAGTAATACTGGTCCAATTGATCTGATTAATTTCTTTAATTGTTTTAAGTTCTAGATATTGTTGAAAATACTGTAAAATTTCATTTACCAAATTTTATGTCAATCCTTGCACTGCCACTGGTAGACAGAAAGTCTCTTATATCAATGGTTGTTCCGCTGAGATTACATCTGGCTCCTCTGACCGCCTCTATATAGGCCCTAGGGGATCTACACAGATCTAAACTGAACTCTGAAGTACGTCCTTTATGGGGACTGTGCGGAAAAATGGTTCGGTTCAGCCGGACCGTACCGCGATGAATGAGATATGCAACAAGTTTTTCACTCTTTACATGTACGTCTTTATAAATTATACTGTAGGACCTACATGTATCCACTTTGGCTGCAATATTACACTGAATCTTTTTTTTTTTAGCTAAAAAATATCCCATAGACCTGTACACCCAGACGCATCTACTGATCATGCTGACTGTCTGTTCATTCATATTTTAGATATCTACAAAGATGTACATGTACATAAGCAATTCCTTAAAGCAACTGTTTTCTGATTTCAGATGTTAAAAAAATGTAGCATCGATAAGAGCAATCTTAATCATTACACCTCTGTTTAGGCAGTTAAATGATTACTTCTAAATTTCTGTCATGACTCATGATAATTCAGATTTCTTTTAGCATTATCACTTTATTCCCTTTTCAAACTGACACATTTATTAAAGAATGAAACAATCATTTTTTACTTCTGTAGATGATCACTGATTTGCTGAGATATTCTTGAAGTCAAGAAAACTGTCATCAGGACTCGTCCAACTCAACAATGGATGATTCAGATGCGGGAAGGGGCACACCGGTGCTCCACTCAGACCCCTGGGTGCAGGCCCACACCCCGACGGTGGACCCCGCCCCGATCATGGACCGCAAGAAGCGGCGCTCGTGGTTCTGCGGGCCGTCCACGCCCGTCAAGGCGACCGCACCCGGCGATGCCAAGAAGAAGCTTCTCGAGGAGCGCAAGGAAGACGAGGAGGTTGCCACTCTGCAGATCACACACTTCACCAAGAAGGTGATGCTGTCCTTTGAGGATGTGAGACTCGGTAGCACCAAGGTCATGACGTTGAGGCTGGAAAACCCTCATGATTACCCGCAGGAAGTGGAGCTGGAAAAATTCCCGTTTCAAAAGGTATGACAAGCATGATGATTTTATTCCACTCCTCATGATGACAGGTCCCAACATTTTTTATTCTAACTGTCAAAAACCCTCCTTTACAAGTTCCAATAAGCCATAACTTTCTCAAGTTCAATACACCAGTTTACGGACATCAGCAATTTTGCAAGCCAGCTATCATACATAATATGCTCTGCTTTCTTTTGCAGGGTTTTTCGGTTGCCGAGACGGTGTGGGAGATTGAGGGCAACCAATCCCTGGACGTCCCTGTCTCGTGGACCCCCAGCGAAGAGAAGAATGTCCGAGAGCTGGTCACTTTCAAGAGCGAGGGGGCTTTCCGCCTTCAGCTGATCATTCTAGGGACTGTCAAGGTCCCCAAGAAAAAGGTGCGCAATAGAATTGTTTTTTAAATTATTTTTAGAAAAGGACTTTTTAAAGGAAAAATGAGGGAAATATGTTTTAAACTTTTGAATACAGGTATGATGTGAAGTGGCAATAAAAACATTAGTTGCAATCATTTCGCTTTTATTTTTTAGGATTAATACTATGGATTAATTTTAGGCAGAAAGATTATGGGAGTCCTTTCATTTGTAAATCTTTTCAGAATTTTATTACAGGTGCTACACTGTATGAATTTACTCCATTAGTTATATAGATGAATTTATCAATATGAATTAGGCCTAATATGAATAAAGAAACATACAGAAGAAAAATATGGCATTTAATTGTGTAGAATAAGATGTTTCTTTGATAGTGTTCTTATTAATTCCCAGTAAAAATGGCTTGTCTTTCCATTTTATTTTCAAGTAATTTATGCTCATAACATAGCTATATGTCCCATTTATCTTTGCAGAAGAATATTAATAGGAGGTCCACTTTCACTGCCCGTAAAGGCCAAGCTATCCAGTCCAGGCGAAGTGTGGCCGTCGCCGGAAACCCACGCCGGGAAACCTTTGTTCAAAAGAAGTCACCAAGATCCCAACCCTATCCTGATGTGGGGAAGGAGAACAGGATTCCTTCCGTCGGAAATAAGTTCGATACCCCAGGAACCAGGAAAGCTCGTGCCAGGTCCGTGGGGACAGTCCTGGAGAAGATCCTGACACCCCGTAAAGTATTGCCTCAGGGGGGAGAGACGGAGAGAGTCATGGTCGGTGATAAGGTATGCACCTTCAGTCCTCAGCTCACGGCCAAGGCGATGATGGAGATTGCAGGAGAGTCGCCCTTTGCTGATGGGAAGATCAAGACGGAACCTCGGAAGGAGACCCTGGTGCTTTGTGATGGCATGTCTCCACTCCTGGCATCGACAGGCAGCCAGAACCTGCTGAAAGCTGCACTTGAAAAGAAAGCGAAACCTCTGCAGGGGTTGTCCAAAGAGCAGACGTCCACAGTGATCAAGAGCTCCTCTCCTGCATCCAGGCTGAGCGATGACGAGAACGGCCTGGAGCCGTTGGAGCTGGCATTTCTGGTACCTGATGAAGCAGAGATTAGCAAGATCTTTGCCACTCCCGCATCATCAGTCTTTGAGCCACTGGCACACTCAGTGGGTGCACGGCTATCGTCCACAAGAATCGATGACAGTGTTTACACTGCCCCTGCTACTGTCCCTGCGCCTTTTTTCCTGACCGAAGAAGAAAAGTCTCCAGAAAAGTCTCCAAGTAGTATAGAGGATGATTCCCTCGAAGATGTGAAGCCTCAAGTTAAAGAGATCCTTGATGATGTTACCCAGGCGCAAGAGGACGACTTACGGCTCACTGATGATTTTCAAGACTTTGATAAAGAGCAGGAAGTAGAGAAAGGTGAACCAGGGCATGAAGATGTAAGAGAGGAATTAGTCATTGAAGAAACAAATCCTGAGGATCCAACCAAATCCGGTGATACAACCTTCTATTCTGATCTTGAGCCTTCGCAGTTGATGATTCCTTCCGATACAGTAGATGATGCAGACGAATCAGTTAAATTTGATGAACTTCCTGAGCCATCGACAGAGCAAGAATCCCTTGACACCCCTGATGAGACAGAGGTACAATTGGCTCCATCACCTGTATCTGAGCCAGTGCAGAAGGTGCAATCTTGGCGCATTTCCCTCGGTGGCTCTGGACCTTCCACGTCACCAAAAGAAGCTCCAATCGTCCAGAAATCAAAGTCCAAACAGGAAGCCTCCTCATGGAGGGTTTCTCTGGGAAGCAGCAAGCGAAGCCCTGGTGCCAGGCCTACAGCTCAGAAACGCCCCATCAGCAGAACATCTTCGAGAACAACCTCTTCTGCTCCATCGTCAAAGCCAGCACCATCTTCAAAAGCAAATGAAGACTTCACCATCCACAAGAGCGCTGTCACCGGCCGCCTCAATGACCGCAAGAGACTAAGCGACCCCATCACCGATCCGGCCCTGCGAAAGAAGAGTCGTCCATCTCCAGAACATAAGGTATCTACCAGAGAGACTCTCAGGTCAAAGGTCGCAGCTGCCAATAAGAGCGGGACTAGTCTCTCAACATCAAGGCAGATCAATCGTACAGTCGCTCTAAGGAAGGCAGCAGCAACTGGCAAGGCTGTGCCAGTCAAGGCTCCTGCTACGTCCAAGGTTAAGGGGAGGCCAAAGGCACCAAAGGCTGTCAGGGGAGTTCCTATGGCTAAACTACAGTTGATCAAGCCCTCACGATCAGGTCAGTAAAAGTCTCCTTTCTTCATTGAGTCCAAAGAGCTGTGGAGGGTATTACCGAAACACTGCTCTATATTTTCTTTTTTTCTTCTTTACTGAAAAGATGGAAACATTCATTATGTAGAGGGAGGTGTTTCACAAAGCCTCTTTTCAATGACAAATGTCAAAAATCTGTGACAAATCTGCTGATAACCAATCATATTTAAAAAAGACAATCATTTCCTGAAGATGAATCCATATCAAGGCCATGGCTACCTTCAAATATATGACAGCATGTATCAATGACATACATGTACATGCGTAAGTGTCGTGTATTGTCTTTAGTTAAATATAAATCAGGAATGTTGTTGATTTTAGAGTGTTGATACATGTAGATAAATCATGTAAAGATCTAAATGTATTCCGTATCTCATTCTTGATTGAGTGAGTCAATTAATTATTTGTGAACAATTAATTAGTAGTAGCCAATCTATGGTCGACTCAACTCTTTCCACTCATTAATAGGTGAGCAATAAGAAATGTACTTTTTGAATATACTTTATTTTATTTTCATCAACAAAAAAATGTATTTTTTATTTAAATTGAAAATTCCATTCACATATTTCTTGAAAATAATCAAGGATAATTCTTGAATGATTAGTTATTTCATGAGAATACCAATTAATATGTATTATACCTGTTTACATGCTTGTGTATTTATCTATTTTGTTTTTGTTGCTTTTTTTTGTGTTATTCTTACCAAACATAACAAAATGGAAGACCACCAACTGGGGGATGTGTGCCACCTTGTAAATATATCAGAAATAAATAAATCAACAATATAATTGTATAATAATAATAATAATTTTCTTCCTTTGATTGATACTGCAGCCTTGCCACGTCATCCACTCCCGTTTGCTGCCAAGAACATCTTCTACGATGAGCGTTGGATGGAGAAGCAGGACAGGGCGTTCACCTGCTGGTTGAACTATGTCCTCACCCCAGACATTGATACACCTAAAGACCCTAATAAGAATGTCAAAAGTAAGTATAGCCAGTAAAAATTTCCAGTATCAGCTGTTATTTTTTTTGTTTTATTTTGTCTTTGTTTTTATATTGAATTGTTGATTTTTGATATTCCTTTCTAGAGTAATGGTAATAAAGTTATATGTTACAACCTCATTAGAAGAAACTCCATGTACTTACCTTGTTATCTTGAAACCTTGTTATATGTCAAAGAACAATTTAAAGATGAAGTTGAGTTCTGGTCATGCGATTGCATTGTGAAAGAAACGGTGTGGAACCGACCAGAAAAGGTTGATCATCTAGCATATAAGAATTTGCGTGTATTGCAAGGTTCTGGAATCATCAAAATGATAAGAAATTTGGCCAAGTCTTGGTAAAGTTACAAACACTGTACACAGAAAGATGTATATGGGACTACACGAACACGTGGCGTAAAAAGCCGGCCCCCCGATTTTTACGATGTTACATGCATATTTAGAATATGAAGGCATATGAAGAGCCATGCTTTTCAGGGAACATGTCTTATCTGATGTTCTTCCACACTTGCATAATAAGAATGAGTAACGCTCACAAATCATTTTTCACCTCTTCCCAGAACTCAACCTTCTCTTTAATACAAAGAACTTAGACTGGTAATAGTAAATGTTGATGTGTATGTTTTAGCAGCATTCTTTGGCAGGGGTTTAAAAAATCATACAGTAGTTCAAAACCCATACTGTAGTAAGTGTAGGTAATGGTAAACTCACATTCTGTGGGTACTTTTCCACCAACCTCTGAAATTCCTCTTGGCTTGGCAGGTTATGAACTCACAGTCTCGTATTGTTCCTCCTTCCACCTCCCTTTTCTCACCCTCAGTTGACGCCCACCTCCTCTGCTTGGAGGGAGCCAGCAAGGTCGGTCCCGCCCCCTCTAGGGAGGACATCTCCCTCAGGGCCTACACTGCCAGGCGTCGCCTCAACCGCCTCCGTCGAGGGGCGTGCATGGTGTTCCAGAGCGAGCCGGTCATCCGCGTCATGCAGAAGCTGGAGGCCGAGGTGGAGAAGGGACGCATCGTGGTGCGCTCGGACAAGATGCTGCACGCTGACCTTGGTAAAAAAGAGCCACTCCATCTCTTCATCCCTTTGAATTAAATATGTCATTTTGAAAGCTCTAGGCCCCGTCTTATAAAGAGTTACGATCGATCCAAATCAATCGTAAGTCCTCCAATCAATCACAAGTTTGCAGTCTCCTATCTCTTATGTACATAGTTGCAATTGATATTACTCGCAAATAAGTTGCGATTAATATCAACTCTTCATAAGACAGAGCCCTACTGTCATATCTTTATTGTCAATATTGCCCTTTTCTTCACATTTTAGAAAAGTAGTTTATTGAAAAATAGCGTGTTTTTTTTTTTTAAAGGTGATGTTTTCCCCTCATCTCATTTGAAGAATGCAAGAGATGTGTATCTTTTTGCTGTCATGTTTTCTTTTCTCGTGGCCTTCTGTCTTCAACTCTCAGAGAGCTTTATTTAGAGCAAACCACAGCTAAAGTGCTCTCAATTTTTACATTTTTCCCCACAATCACAACAGCTTCTAATTTTAATTTCACATCTTGTCATAATTCAGGTATAAAGCAAGAGCTTCTTAATCTCATCCTCTGCTACAATCCCCTTTGGCTGCGCATAGGTTTAGAGGTAAGTTCTTTTTACTCTTTATTACCTAAAATGGTCAGAAATGGCTCTCTCTCTGTTACACCTAATTGGAACGTAAAATGTTAACTTTTAATATTTTTTTTCTTGATTTAAACAAAAAAAAGCTACTTGAATATACTGTAAAGCCAGAAACTTTGTTGTGTATGAAAGTATTCAAGAATTTTGTGAGTGGTTCACATTTACAGAACTTTCTCGCTGTGATCTTTGATGTCGGTAACAATTCACTAAAGTTTCATCTCGCAAAATGTTCCGGTTTTTCAGTATGTCTTATGCAACGTACTGAATCAGTGATTTACAGGCTGGTGTTTGTGTTACGGGTAATTCCATAAATTAGGGACCCACTTTGTGACATTTTTGATGTCCCACTTACATAAGGAACCCACACGTATTTGTGGCTCTGACTAAAGACTTAAATAGTGGAGTGAGATTGTAAAGTGATTTCCAAGCATAAAATTGCATCCTCATACCTAGAATCACTTAACAATCTCACTCCACTATTTAAGTCTTTACTCAGAGCCACAGATACGTGTGGCTTCCTTATGTAAGTGGGACACCAAAAATGTCACAAAGGGGGTCCCTAATTTATGGAATTACCCTATTATATTTAGATATTGATTACTTGACAATATTCTTCCTAAATTGCGCTCTTAAATCTCCAAAACGCTAAATGTAACTGTCCTTTTTTGCGTTCACACCAGACCACCTATGGAGAGCTACTTCCCATTCAGGACAACAGCGATGTCTACGGCATGTCTCGCTTTGTCGTCACCCGTCTCCTAGGCAACCCGGACATTGCCGCTGCCCACGCCCACCCGACCGTGCCAAACCTCTTCGGACCAGGTAGGGTGAACTGGAAATCGAAGCTTGCTTTCGAGTACAGGGACACGTTCCACAAAGCCGTTTTTCAATGACAAAAACTTGTCATTTGTCACTGATGACACGTGTTGTGAAACAGGGCCTGGATGAGTCTGTGAAGTTGATTGGTGAATCAGTTTTCCCATTGGTTAACCTCTTATTCTCATAGGGTTTAATACCGGAACCTGCCTTTTACTGCTGAACACATTTTTCTTATCTTTGGAAAGCTAGTGTGTAGGAATGCCATAGTGGCCATTTTGTTATTTTGCTTATGAAAACAATCCCATCTCCTACTACTGTTAGGCTAGCTGTCTACTCTGGCCCAGTTTGCACTTGAGGAGTCATTGTTTTGCTGTTATCCCATTCTCACGAATGCAAAGAAAAAAACGATTGTATATAATTTACTGTAAAGATACCCAATATTCACATTTCTGTGACGCTACCACGCCTTATTTACACTTAAAAAGGCTTAGATGATGGTGCTGTAGTCTCATTCTCAAATCAGAGCACTATTGCTAATGAAAACAACCCCATCTCCCACCACCCCTAGGTTACCAGGCTGCACTGGCCCAGTTTCCACTCAGTTCCCCTAGATGGAGTCCCAGTCCCAATCCCAATCCCCCTTATCCTCATGAAAGCAAATGCATGTGTTGAAAGATTTGTTGTTCATGAAACCAACCCCATCTCTCACCACCTCAGGTTACCAGGCTGCTCTGGCCCAGTTTACACTGAAGAAGTTCCTGATGCTAGTGTTCTTCCTGGACCGTGCCAAGCTGACCCGACTCATCGACCATGACCCCTGCCTCTTCTGCAAAGATGCTCAGGTCAAGGTAAGCGGAGGAGGATTTTCATTTGAAAAAATTATTATTATTAAAGGGATAGTTTAGTTCTGTTTTCAGACCGCAAATTCCTTCAAAGTGCATGGTTATTGCTCTTATTCTTATCTATGACATTTATAGTGCCCTTTAAGAACCTAAAGTTGCTATGAAGGTAATTTTAGACCCCAAAATGTGTGAAATTTAGCCAATACGATCATACCAATTCAGCTCCACTTTAAAAAAAAACATGGTGACCATTAATTAATTATTTAATTAAAAATAACAATACATGAGCCGGCTAATTGTGGGTAATATAAGCAACACAAAAATGCCAACAAAAAAAGCCAACATCGGCATTGACTGAAATACGACTTAAAAGGCGTTATTTCTGGGTTTTTCAACTGTTTTTTCAAATTTTTCAAAATATCTTATATTTGTGATGGTACACAAGTATTAGAAATTGTTATATTTCAGCCTTCTCTGAACCAATTTTGATCAAACAAAGATGATTTTGTCATTTATATATTATGTTCTTTCAAATTTGACACTCAGTTTTTCATTATCTCGCAAAAAAAATATTTTGTGTAGCGCCCTCTGCAACCTAACTCAACTATCCCTTTAACCTTTATTTCCTTCTCAACAGTACAATATGAAACACAGTGTATATATAAATTATATATGTAATAATGATTTCAACAAAGAGTATACAGTAAATAATTCAGATGACAGAAGGAGGCGAAAACCCGAAAAGCATAGCTTGAGTTGGGAACGCCCATAATAAGTTAACACAGTTACTGAGAGAACATTATAGATATTATTATGAAAGTTTCGCAATGATAGGATAAAGAGAAAGCCAACCTATTACCAAGAGGAAGCAGGAAAGTCGGATAAACATGAAGAAAGTTGTGATTTTTAAAAGTTGTTTGCAATGCAAATTCAGTTGTCTGAATGAGTAATGTCACAATGAAAACCCTAACTGTGATGTAGTTATATATTGAATTGATGACTACATGTAGGTGGGATCTTTATGTTTGTTGGAGGACTGTTTACAATACACTATCAATAGTCAATACTACATGTATATTTTAAAGATAAAAATTGGCTAAGTTAAAACTGGAAATCAAATACATTTTAGTGTACAACAAATGGTAGTTGTCTCCAAATATGTCATAGTGGAATAACAGTTGCCCCTCCCCATACAAATAATTAATGTGTTATCCGTCAATGTAATGTATGCAAGCTTCCAATTTTCTTGTTTGCAGTCAAGTCGAGACGTTCTCCTTGAGTTCTCTCGTCGGTACCTGAAGGGCGAGGGAGACATCACACGTCATCTCAGCTTCCTGGGCTATTCAGTCACTCACGTCCAGCGCCCTCTGGACGAGTTTGACTTTGCCGTCAACAAGCTTTCCGTTGACCTGAGGTGTGGGGTCAGACTTGCGTAAGTTTTTGTTGACAATGATGAGGACATTATCCATCTAATTGCTATAGTTTAAGCTAGAACTAAACTTCTTATCTTAATAAGTATTTGAAATCTTCCTTTTTGCTGCTTTTATTATAATGTACCGACTACCAAAATGCATTTATTTTGCTTGGTATGTTAGAGTTTCCATGTCAATAAACTTCATATGAAAATATGAGCTTAAAATATTAAATGCATTAAAGAGATATTGCGAGTTTAAGAACAGTCTCAATAAACATTAAAATGGCTTGTAAATTGGCTTATTGATGCACCCATACATACTCTCATTTTTTCATACTCCACAACCCCTTTAAAACTAAATCATTATTTTTGTTTAAATATGTATTTTTTGTAGCTATAGGCAAGTAATATTTTAAGGTCATTGGTATCCCCAATAGCAACTTAACCGCCCGAAACCGCCTTTCCTTTTACTCACTGTACCGCCAATCCGTTTTCGTCCGTTTTCAACCCGCTATAGTATCCGTTCTAGGGTCTACCGTTATAATGTTATACGTGCGCAATCCTTACAATGTCTACATTAGGGTTCTGCATAGAAAAATAGCGTATGTTTCATATTGTTCAGAAAAATGTCAAATTGAGAGCAATAGTGCAACATTTTTCAGTGAGAAATAGGCCATTTTTACAAAATCTCTAGTTGCTGTAATGGGTTATTAACGTCATGTCAGCAGTTTTTTCATGAACTTATTTTCTTTCTTTCTTTGACCAGACGTGTGGTGGAGCTGTTGACCCAGAACTGGACGCTGTCCAGAGAGCTTCGCGTACCAGCCATCAGCAGACTGCAGAAGATTCATAACGTAGAGTCGGCTTTCAAGATGCTCAAGGAAAGAGGCATCAACGTGGAAGGTAGCAAACAAGACAGGATTTTAAATTAACAAACAAAAATTATTATAATTTGTTTTGCTACCAATTTACACACAATTGTCAGGTATGCAGAGCTGCCAACCATTACGTTTTACCTGGAATTATTCAATTTTTTCCTCCCAATTACGGTAGTATTTTTTTTCTTCTTTTTTTTAATTAATTTTTTTTTGGAACTCTTTTTTTTTTTTTTTTACATACCGCACGTCAAACAACTGCCCTAAAATGTTGATTTGATCACAAATTCAATAGAAAACTAAGGTTAAAACATACTTGAAGAGAAAAATATTCTTAACAAGAATGAAATGCTGATAATACCAAAATAACAAAAAAATATACCTACTTGTAAACTATAGGTCCTAATATGGAAAAAACAGCATGAGGAATGGACATTTCTGCATTGGAAGTGTGTCCCGCATCGTTGTAAGTTTTTTTTTGGTCGCACAAGGTTGGCAGCTCTGTGATCCTGCCATCTTTTGCTTCTATAAATATTATGTATTTAAAAATTCAATTTTTTTTTTTTGTGGCACAAGGATTAATAGGAAACTTGTGAATCCATGACGTAATTGTACATCTCCTTCGCTTTAAAGGGAGTGGGTATCTTTGTCTCAGATTCTGAAACAAAATCCTGGATTTAGCTCATGCTGCAATGATAATTATAAACCGTTATCGGTTTTGGATTTAACATTGTTAAACGATACCTTTCCATTTCTTTTAGGAGGCGGTCTGAATGAGAGAGTGATCGTAGATGGTCACAGGGAAAAGACTCTTGAGCTGCTCTGGCGTATCATCTTTCATTACCAGGTAAGCTACCTTTATTCAAAATTGCTTTTGATGATTAAAGAGAAGGTTGAGTTCTGGGAAGAGGTGAAAAATAATTTGTGAGCGTTATCATTCTTATTATGCAAGTGTGGAAGAACATCAGATAAGACATGTTCCCCGAAAAGCATGGCTCGTCAAATGCCTTCATATTCTAATTATGTCATGTAACATCGTAAAAATCCAGGGTAGGATTTTTACGCCACGAGTTTGTGTAGTCCCATATACATCTTTCTGTGTACAGTGTTTGTAACTTTACTAAGACTTGGCCAAATTTCTTATCATTTTGATGATTCCAGAACCTTGCTATACACACAAATTCTTATATGCTAGATGATCAACCTTTTCTGGTCGATTCCACACCATTTCTTTCACAATGCAATTGCATGACCAGAACTCAACTTCATCTTTAACTTACTCTGTTCACATTGATTTATATTTCATATGTATTGTAATTTGAAGGTTCATTTGCATTTCTTTATGTTTTGTTTAATATGTAATTGTTTATCATTGAATGAAAAAATGAACTTAAAAAAGCATGATTTATCAATATCACATTCTCTAAATTCCTTATTTGTCCTTTTTGTCTTGCAATCTGCTCAGGTTGGGGTGATGCTGAACGACGAGCACATCCGCGAAGAGATTGCATTCCTCACCAAGAACCGCAAGCTGAAGGAGAAGATCAGCGCCCTGAAGGAGGGGGGCAACCAAGGCCCCTCCCACCCCAGCCTAGACGGCCCCCACCTCTACTTCAAGAGCCCCCAACTCATGCTGCTCATGGACTGGTGCAAGGCAGTCTGCTCCTTCTACGACCTACAGGTATGTCAAGGACTTGATATAATTAATTTGATCTAACATTGGTTGCCTATAAGGCATAGCATTGCATTTAAGATAATGTTCTGGGATGCCAGTTTTCAGGCCCTGGCGATTTATTTTCAGACCATAGTTTAGGTTTTTTTTGTGTACAAAATAGCTTATTGTAGGTGTTTTTCAGGACCTCTGATCAATTCTAACTGGCGTCCCTGAATGTTGATTGTTTTCAAAGCATTGAATAGTCAAGCCCCAAATTATTTGTCTGAATTATTATCTGTTAAATCACATCCATATGCACGTAACTTGCAAAGTACACATGACAAGCTGGTCTAAAGCTAACTCCCACACAAAAAAAACTAACTCTTGCAGATTGCGCTTTCAGTTGCACCGCTACAAAGCTCTGGAATAACCTATCCCTAGACATAAGAAAAGCCTCATCTGTTGCTGAAGACGCACTTGTTTATGATTTAGCAGTATTTTAGCAATAAACCCAATAACACACTCTTTCCATCCACTCACTCTTTTCATTTAGATCGAGAACTTCACCGTGTCCTTCTGCGATGGGCGTGCCCTGTGCCTCTTGATCCACCACTACCACCCCTCCCTGCTCCCCTATGAGAGGATTAACCAGGACACCACCCTCATGCAGTTCCAGAGGGAGGAGCGGGAGGACGATCTCAACTCATCCTGCAATAGCTTCGATGGAACCTGGTCCCACACGTTCTCACCAAGTAGGTCCCAAGCGTTTGTCATTATTTCAATATAACATTCATATTCAATAATAAAATCATTACTTATCAAAACAATAAGAACGAGGTACATGCAATTTGTTGGTCACATATACAGAAAGGATAATCTAGAAAAGAAAAAAACAAACAATATTAAGAGGGAAAATTACGGGAAAGAGGAGCGGGGGAAGGCAAGGCCTTACATATTTACAAAGCCTGAACACATGGGCGCCCAAAAATGAAATCAGCAATATGAAAATTGAAATTATAAACCTCAGCAGGTCAGAGTATATTCAACATGTTTTCTAGTATTGACATATGTGTCATTCACAAAACCATCTTCCATTTTTCACCATTCCCTAGGTACTGGCAAAGAAACCGACCAGGAGAAGCTGCTGGCCAACGAGCGCATGAACTTCAAGCTCCTCTACGAGAAGGTCAACGAGCTGGGCGGGGTCCCAATGATGGTGCGATCGGCGGACATGTCCAACACCATCCCGGACGAGAAGGTGGTGATCACCTACGTCTCGTACCTCTGCGCACGCCTGCTGGACCTGAGGCAGGAGACGAGGGCAGCACGCACCATCCAGCTGGCCTGGAGGGCCCACCACCTCAGGAAGGAACAGAAGATGAGGCTGGTGAGTATTTGATAGTCTCGGTATATTTCGGCTAGGAAAAACATTTCCCCAGTTTCTTTTCCTTGTGTTTGAAGCTCAAAGGGCCAAGTACTGTGCCTTGAGGGAAGCCGCGGTTGTCATGCAGAAGGTTTACAGAGGAGAGGGTCCCATGTTGTTTGATATCTTTACAGTTTAGCAAGATGACTGCTACACGCTTGTTGCCATTTCCATGTTAAAATTTGTACCAAACTTGCTTTTGTCCTTGCTTTACATCTATGTAGACTCAAACATGTTGAGAAAAAAATGTTCTCTTCTATTGGTTTCATGACCTTATTTATAAGAAACAACATTTTTCCCCATGTCAAAGCACAAAAAATAAGATGGGCAGAAAATATGGACTAGGGGAGGAGAAGCCAGATTGTCTTTGTGATATGACCTTGAAGCCCCACTGCACTACTTATAGCTACTTGCACCCTCTATAATGCAAACATTGGCTAAGCGGTGCCCATTGGTCCCCCATGATCCTCTTTTTGTTAATTGAGAGCTGAGTTGATGAGAAAGCCACCTGTCAGTGACCTTGCTGGGTAGTCTAATCCCTCCTGGCCAAACTAGTACAGACAGGATTTAAAAAGAAGAGGAGGGGGTCCCATGTTGTTGGATATTCTTACAGTTTTGCAAGATGGCTGCTACACGCTTGTTGCCATTTCCAACTTAATTTTCGTACCAAACTTGCTTTTGTCCTTGCTTTACATCTATCTAGACTCAAACATATTGCAAAAATGTGATTGCATTGGATTGGATTAGTATTGGATTCATGACCTTATTACAAAAAACCAAAAAAAGAACTTTTATCCCACATCAAAGCCTAAAAAAATATGGATTGGAGAGGATAAGAAGCCAGACTGTCTTTGTTATATGAACTTAGCATAACAATTGTTTTACCAAGTTATACCCCTTCCTATTCTACCCATATATCCTTTACTCCCATTTATAAACCTCCTTCTATATGTAAGTTGTAAATAAATTAGGTTATTCCCCTTCTTGCTGATGCTGATTCTTTTCTGTTAATTACCACGCATATGTTTAGGTCCGAGAGAAAGCGGCAAGCAAGATCCAGTCGGCCTTGAGGGCATTCCTCCTGAAGCGTCGCGGGGAGCGTATCGGTGGAGCAGTCCTTACCATCCAGACAGCCATCAGAGGCTTCCTAGCCAAGCAGACCGCCAAGAGATTACGCCAAGAACTAGCCATCAGGAAGCAAGCCCAGGCTGCCACTGTGATACAGGTGATTATTTCTTTTCAGGGAAAAAATACCAAAAAATTTTTTTTGGGGGGGGCTACTTTTCAAGCTTGCTTGCATGAAAATAACATTCTTTAATAAGTTTTGCATTGAACTCTATGCAAATCTTTGAGGGCTCTTTTATGACTTTTGGGCACTCTTTTTGGCATTTCAGGGGCTAATTTGTCCCGAGCCCCCGTGAATTTTTCCCTGATTTCTTTTCACCATAAAGAGAGTCTGTGATATATTTGTGGTTTCACTTCTGAGGGGTGTTTCACAAAACTTGTCATTAGTGACAAATGACATTTTTTTTGTTATAAGCTACTGATATCCTTGCTTCTGATTGGTTATCAACAGATTTGTCTCTGATTTTTGTAATTTTTCATTGAAAAAAGGCTTTGTGAAACAGGTCCCAGGGGAGCAGCTGAACCCTCTTTGCGTTGGGATTTTTCAACTTTTCTATAATAATATAATATAATGTTTTATGTGCACAACCAGCGAGTGTTATAATTCATGTTATATACCTCACTTAAGAAATCCAGCCATCGGCACGCCTCGGGCAATAGCACAATTCTAACCTTCCCTTGAGCGTATAAAAACAATTATATCCCACATATTAAGAATCTTGCTCTATGATTGGTGAAAAGTAAATCACATGAGGAAAGATAGTTCGCCCATTATTGATGGGAGAAGCAAAAAGTTTGTAACACTGTGTAGATAGTACTACTATCTACATAGTGCAATGCACTTTCATTGAAGATAGAGGTACTATCTACAAAGGGCAACACACTTTCACTGAAGATTATCAAAACGCGCACTAAAACAGGCGTAATTAAGCGCGCATTACCAATGAGCGCAATTAAAGAAAACACATGCGCGCACTTTACCCTCAAGGGGTTGGGTTAAACTTAAACTTTTTTGGTGTGAATTTGGGCCTAGGTGTCTTTTATGTAGATGCATACACGTCCTTTTCTTTTTGTAATTAAATTGTTTTAGATGTGGAATATAAAGCAAATAATCACCTTTTGGTTTTCAGGCAATGGAAAACTATCACTTCCTCGTCGATCAGAATATATACGCTATCTTTCCTCAGCTTCGCTTCGGAAAGATAGCTACATCCAGATCGCCTCGAAGTGATAGTTTGTCCCATCACCTTCACCAACGGTAATTATTTGCTTACTATTTCTCTCAAAGCAGTCATTAATACTATACTGTTACTTCCCTTGCAAGGTATGACAGCTCTAAATTTGGCCGAGTATTCAAATTTCCTCTTTCGATTCCAACTTCAGGCTGCTGTCAAAGGTTTCCTGCTAAGACGAGACGTTTCCCGTCAGCACCGTGCTGCCACCATCATCCAATCAGCTATCAGGGGTCATGTGACGAGGTCGAGGGTCGTTAGGATGCAGCATGCCGCATCAATGATTCAGGGCTGGTATCGCTCGCAGCAAGGCATGAGGACGGCCAGGGAGAGATTCGTCGAACTCAGAAGGGCATCAGTCAGAGTCCAGGCTATGTGGAGAGGAATCCTGGTAGGTTGTTTTGTTTTGTTCATTCTTTCTTTTTTTAAAGCCCCACTGCACTACTAATAGCTACTTGCACCCTCTGTATAGTAAATGATGTATAATCGGTGCCTGTTGGTCTCCCATGATCCCTTTTTCTTATGTTAATGGAGAGCTGATTTGATGAGATAACCACCTGCCATTGACCTTGCAGGGAGGTCTAATCCCTCCTGGCTAAACTATTTTAGACAGGATTTAAAACTCACTGTATATATTGTTCTTTGATTCATTTAGATATGAAATGACGTAATCAATCTTTTGGCAGATTTTATGTATCAAGTTTGATATAGTGGCTTTGCTATATAAATATTAATTTAATAAGAACTTGTTTTATTTTTTTTTTTTATTAATGGAAAGCAGGCACTGTAGATTAGCTGTTCATGTATGCTTGAAGAAATACCTTTGTTCAAATGATAGCACATATCACTTCTTCTTTTCCTTCTCTTCTATTCATATTGTTCAAGTCTGATTTAGTTTAGAAATTCCATTTATGAGCTTTCACAATTTTTTTGTTTTTTTTTTGGTGTTGATACAAAATGATATTTTTTTGATACAGTTTATTAGAAATGTCTGTACCTCATCATTTAAATCCATGCAAAAGATTGCAACTGTCAGCTTAAAAATGGCTGAAATATTTTGAAATATCGCTTACATGTATTTAAAGTTTCTTATCTTTATTCATTACAGGTCCGTAGAATGATTGAGCAAATGAAGGCAGCGCGCACTATCCAGTCGGTCTGGAGAGGTTACCATGCGAGACAGATGTACCTGAGACAACAATCTGCTACTATCATCCTCCAGACTCATTACAGGAGACACTGTGCCGTGGAAGGTTTTAGGAAGCTTAGAGGGACTGTCATCAAGATGCAGGCTCTGTACAGGTCAAAGGTCAAGGGTGAAGCTCAAAGGGCCAAGTACTGCGCCTTGAGGGATGCAGCGGTTGTCATGCAGAAGGTCTACAGAGGAAGGTTGGGTAGGAGAGATGTGCGTAGGATCAGAAGTGCTGTGACAATCCAGGCTGCTTTCAGAGGTCACCAACAGAGGGCGTCTTACATGAGGCTGAAGAACAGCGCTGTTCGAATCCAGGCCCATGTCAAAGGGGTCCAGTCCAGGAGGAGGTACACACAGCTCCGACAGGCTGCAGTGGTTCTGCAGACTCGCTACCGTGGTGTACTGCTAGGCCGCAAGGTATGCAGAGATTACAACGTTACAAGAGGAGCGACCATCACCATCCAATCTGCAGTACGCTGCTACCAGGAGAGACAGCGCTTCATCCAAACCAAACAAAACATTATCACTTTGCAATCTGCTGTACGAAGATATCTAGCACAGAAGAACTACAGGCAGCTTCAGCAGGCTACCAAGGTCATGCAGACAAGATATCGTGCAGTTTTGCTTGGCAGACGGGTTTACAGAGAGTACAACATTTCAAGAGGAGCAGCCATCACTATCCAATCTGCAGCACGCTGCTTCCAGGAGAGACGACGCTTCATCCAAACCAAACAGAACGTCATCATTCTGCAATCTGCTATTAGAGGATATCTAGCACTGAAGAACTACAGACAGGTTCGTCAGGCAGCTGTAGTCATGCAGACAAGATATCGTGCAGTTTTGCTTGGCCGACAGGTTTGCAGAAAGTATAACATTCAAAGAGGAGCAGCAATCACTATCCAGTCTGGAGCACGCTGCTACCAGGAGAGACAGCGCTTCATCCAAACCAAACGCAATATCGTTGTTTTGCAATCTGCTGTACGAGGATACCTAGCACAGAAGAACTACAGGCAGATTCGACAGGCAGCCGTAGTCCTTCAGACAAGATATAGAGAAGTTCTTCTTGGACGGAGGTTGCGTAGTGACTACTGCATTGCTAAGGGTGCAGCCATCACCTTACAGGCTACATGGAAAGGTTACCTTGCCCGAACAGAGTTCTTGCAAAAGAAATCAGCAGCTATCAAACTTCAATCTGCAGTCAGGTGCCGCCTATCCAGGCAAAGGTACATGAAGTTGCAAGAAGCAACAGTTATCCTGCAGAGGCGATTCCGAGCAGTGCTTCAAACAAAACAAGCTATCTTGGACTACTGCTACACCCGCGGTGCCATCATCACACTCCAAGCAGCATTCCGAGGATACCTCCAAAAGAGAGAGTACCAACGAACAAGAGCTGCAGTCATCACCCTACAATCATCTACACGATGTTACCTCGCTCGCAAGGATTTCACCCAAAAGAGGTCTGCAACAATCCTCCTGCAAAGGCGTTTCCGCGCTTTGGTTACTGGGCGCCAACTGCACGCGGACTATCGTTGTCTGAGAGCGGCAGCCATCACTATGCAAGCCAGCTTCAGGTGCCATGTCCAGAGGACGTGGTACCTCAAACAGAGATCCGCAGTCGTCGCTGTCCAGGCTGAAGTCCGCAAGAGATTGGCTAGGAGGCAGTACCTTCAACTCAGAAGTGCAGCCATTGTCCTGCAAACTCGATTCCGTGCACGCATGCTGATGCTACAGCTCACCCAAGACTACAAAGCAAAGCGCAGTTCAGTGATCCTTTTCCAAGCTCTGTACCGTGGACAAGTCCAGCGCAAAATCTTCCTCCGTCAGAAATCAGCTGCAGTGATCATTCAAGCTAGGACTCGTGGATACCTTCAACATCGCAGTTATATGAGGGTGCAACAGGCAGTCCGTACTCTCCAGACTCGTTTTAGGGCTTCGATGATGGGAAGGGCATGCTTAGAAGAGTACTATCTTGCAAGAGGTAGGATTATAACCATCCAAGCATTGTACAGGGGATATGCTGCCCGAAAGATGCTGAATGCCCAGCAGGCAGCTGCAGTGACCATTCAGGCAAACTTTAAGTGCTTAATAGCCAGAAAAAGATATTCTAGCTTAAAACAAGCAGTCAGTGTTCTCCAGACAAGATTACGAGCTCATATTCTTGCAAGGAAAACAAGGGAGTCATTCCAGAAGACCAAAGCTGGCATCATTGCCATCCAGTCTCTTTATAGGGGTTATGCCCAGAGGAAAGAACTTTCAAGACAACACCAGGCAGCTACTCTAGTACAGTCATCTTTTAAGAGATTCATAGCCAGATCTCGGTACTTGCAGCTTCAGCAAGCAACACTTGTACTTCAAACTCGCTACAGAAGCCTTCAGCTTGGTAGAGCAGTTTGCAGGGACTACAATATCAAGCGAAGAGCAGCTATAACTCTTCAAGCCGCATATCGTGGTTGCAGTCAAAGGCAAGTCTTGGCCAAACAGAGACGGGCAGCTGTTCTCATCCAGGCTGCAGTGAGAGCCCATCAGAAACGTAGATTATATGTGTCTCTTCGCAACGCTGCAATGGTCGTCCAGAAGCGGTTCCGTGCCCAGCTGTTGAGTAAGAGGATTTGTATGAAGTATAATATAATGAGAGGTGCTGCTATAACCCTTCAGGCAGCTTATCGTGGACACCTTCAACGCAAGGCTCTTGCCAGGCAATATCTCGCTGCCACTCTGATCCAAGCCACATTTAGAGGTTTCGTCACCAAAAGATGGTATTCATCCGTTTGCAAAGCAGTGGTAGTCCTCCAGACAAGATACCGTGCCCACAAGCTTGCTCAAGCAGTCCAGAAGGAATATCAAATAATGAGAGTTGCTGCCATCACATTGCAAGCTGCCTATCGCGGTCACTACCAGCGCAAGGTCCTGACTCTGCAGCACTCTTCGGCCACTAAGATCCAAGCCTTGTTCAGAGGATTTGTCAGAAGGAAGCGTTACCTGCAAGTGTGCCATGCTGCCAGGGTTCTGCAGAAGCACTTCAGGGCTTTGAGGCTTGGTAAAGAAGTACAGCAGGAGTACTACATGATGGTTGGTGCTATTGTCACCGTACAGGCTGCTTTCAGAGGACTTGTTGCAAGAAGGGCGCTCCACAGACACCATGAAATGGCAACCAAAATCCAAGCATGCTTCAGAGGATACGTCCAGCGCATCCAGTACCAGAAGATTGCCAATGCTGCCCTTGTTCTCCAAAGACGTTTCCGAGCTTTGCGTCTTGGGCAGAGGACTCGTGGAGATTACGTCTTCCAGCGATCATCTGCCATCAAGATCCAGGCATTCTATCGTTGCCAGAGAGAGAGGAAGGCTTTTGTGACCAAGAAGCAATCTGCAGTTAGAATCCAAGCTATGATCCGAGGATACCTTGGGTTTGTCCATGCCAAGAGGTTTAGGCAGGAGAGGACAGTTGCTGCAACTGCAATCCAGAAGCAATGGAGGGCAAATGCTCTCAGGGACCAGCAAGTGAGATGTTACAATATTCAGAGAGGTGCTGCAATCACCATACAGGCTGCGGCGAGGACATTCCTGGTCCGCCAGTCTATCCAGAAGCAGCACAGAGCAGCCACCCGCATTCAGTGCTTCTACAGATGCCACAGAGCCGTTAAAAGCTACAAGAAAACTCTGGATGCCATTCATGTCCTGCAGGATCAGTGGAGGGCACACCTACTTGCCAAGAAATTCCAGGAAGAATACGCCAACCTCAAGAAGGCTACCATAACTGTGCAAGCAGTCTACCGTGGTCTTTGCATTCGCAGGAGAATAGCTCTGGAGCACGCTGCAGCAACAAAGATCGAGGCCACTGTGCGACAGTTCATTGCCAGGAAGCGTTACTTGAGTCTGAAGAAGGCAGCTGTTGTGCTTCAGAGAAGATTCAGGGCCTCAAAATCTTGCCAGGTAGAAACTCTGAAATACCATATCACCAGGGGTGCCTGTATCACACTGCAAGCAGCTGTGAGAGGCTTCTTGACCAGGAAAGCCCTCAAGAACTCCAACAGGGCAGCTACTATCATTCAAAGTGCCTACCGTAGCTTCAGGCAACAACAGAAGTACAACCAAGAGAGGATGGTGATCATCCTGCTTCAGACAAGGATTAGAGCATACCTAGTTGGGAAGAAGGTGTGTCGTGATTACAGTGCCATGAAATCTGCAGCTGTGGTTGTCCAGAGTGTGTACAGAGGCTTGATGGCAAGGCGTTTGGCCGCAAAGCATAGAGCAGCTCGTAGCATACAGTCCATGTTCAGGATGCATCTTAGTAGGCAAATGTACCTGAAACAGCGTAGCTCTGCCATTAAAATCCAGGCTATTTGCAGGATGTACTTGGCAAAGAGATTCTACAAGAAGGTGTACTCTGCTGTCTGTGTGCTTCAGAAGCACACCAGGGGGTATCTTGAAGCAAAGAAGACCAGAAGAGATTACCTGCAGAAGAAGAGTTCTGCCATCATCATTCAATCACACTTTCGGCGCTGCATAGCAGAGAGGAGGTACTCTAAGCACCGCCAAGCTGCCATCTGCGTCCAATCCCACTACAGGCAAATGGTGCAACGCCGACGGTACCAAACCATCAGGGGTGCAGCCCTTGTGATCCAGAGGCGCTACCGGGCCACCATCCTCGCTCGGGTAACCCAGAAGGAGTACCACATGGCCCGCGGTGCAGCTATCACACTTCAGGCGGTGTTCAGAGGGTACATGCAGTGCTGTAGGTATAGGAATATGCGGTGCCATGTGGTCAAGATGCAGGCAAGAGCCAGGGGTGCCATGGCTAGGAGGTGCTTTGCAAACATGGTGCGGGAGAAGGAAGCAGCCATGTGCATCCAACGTCATGTTAGGGGATACCAAACCAGGAAACACCTTAAGGTAAGTCTGTTTTGGGTTATCTTTTTTTTTTTTATCAACGAATAGATTTCTTACGGCTCCAAAATGGAAGAATGGCAAGAATACAAGCAGAGAAAGGGAGAAGAAAGAAAAAAATGACTGTCCTTGTAGCCTAAATCTCTACAATAACTTCATGATATATATCTTTTTGGAAAATTATTTTTAAAACCCTTTAGGGAAGCAAATTTGAGGTTAACATCTACTCTTTCATGTAGTAATACAGTTCCTCTTGTGATATTCTAGAATAACATCATTCTTTTTTAAATAACTCTGAAATGTCTCAGAATGATCTGACGACCATTTGTCCTTCAGATCTCAAATCCTTACGGTTGAAAATCTTCAATAACCATAATTTCTGTTTTTATAGGCCCAACGTCAAGCAAGACTAAAAACACTCCAGGCCTTTGCGGACCGAACCAAGGCCCACCTGTCTGTCATTAGACTCCAGAGGGCCTTCCGTAACTTCCGCCTCCGCATGGCCTTCAAGCAAAAGATGGATGCCATCACTACCCTACAGAACTGGATGAGAGCCAAGCTTCTGCGTCTGCGGTTCCAGAAGCTCCGAGCTGCGGCGCTTGTCCTACAGAGGGCAGCAAAGCGATATCTCGTCAGGAAGAACGTTGCTGCGACCCGGCTTCAGTCCGTTGCTAGGGTCTGGCTTGCCAAGCGACGGGTCCAGAAGATGCACTCAGCTGCACTAAGGATGCAGGTAAGACCCCTTTCTGGATTCATGATAGTGTTAACCAATTTCAGTCACCCCAAATAGGTTATTTAAGATTATGAGCGACATTGCTTTAAAATAATGGCTATAAGTACTGTAACACCGGAAACTTTTGGGACATGAAACCTTGAAGATCTTATGATATGAGAGCAAATTTCAATCTCAGGGCAAAGAAGCTGTCACAAGTCTCAAAACTACATTGTTGTGTCAGATTCTTTCATTCCACAGCATGAAACTTCCCCCAAATACTTGCAAGAATTGACAAACATTTTACACGCTTAAAGGTTTCTTGTTAAACAATCATAATCCTTTCAAGATAATTGTTGTTGTTGTTATGATCACACTGCTTAATATCTCATGGATTGACCTTTGACCCCTGCAGGCTCTGTGGCGAGGTCACCGGGTCAGGTGTAGCATCAAGAGCAAGAAGGTCAGCGCGGCCCGGGCACGATGCCAGCGAGCCAATCGGAACGTCACCGAGGAGAAGAAGCTCTGTAACCGCACCGCCACCGCCTTGGACTACCTCCTGCATTACAGGAGCATGCATCGCATCTTAGAGACGCTCATCAGTCTCGGTGAGTTCATATTAGGTGTAGAGGTGTCCTAGTTGAGTGGTTTAAGCACTTGATTTGAAATGCAAAGGTCGTGGGCTCGATCCTCGACACAGCACTAATGTCCTCAGGTGAGGCATAAATATGCATGTGCCACTCCATACCCAGGAGAGAGAGAGGGAGGGACCTGGTAGGATGCTGAAAGCCTTTGCCATATACCCTCATGGCGACCATATGGTAGGAATACTCCCCAGGGAGTGGAGATGTGTACATTGTGCATGAATGAATCCGATGACCAGGTTAATAATATCTGTAAAACGCTAAGAGATGGTATTTTGTTAAAAGATTCATGGACAAACATGTTCAAAATAACTTACTATTTTTTTCCAGGCTACGACACTGCACTGGTAGTTTGCATAGCTAACATTTAAACAAAAAAGTTATTTTTTCATTTATTTAATTATTTCTGTATTTTTTATGTTTTATGTTTCTCTCAGTATTGATCAGAATTGAACTAAAAAAGAAGTGAATCCAAGGATAAGATTAAGAAAAAGTAGCATTACAATCGCCCAAATTAAGAAAATAATTTGATGTAAGATTTTTTTTTAATGTATTGAAAATTTAAGGTATGTTGCCACTTTTCTTAGCTACCACTTATTCTATAAGCTGACAGTTTTATTGCTAACAGAACTATTCTAGTTACAAGAAGAAAAAAGACATGAATAAGAATGACCCATCCAAGTTCCCCGTTACTAATAAACCCTTGCTTTGTCTTTCAGAGGTCGTGTCTCGCCTGTCGGCTATTTGTTGCCAGCGTCTGGTTGAAGCCGGTGCCGTTCCGGTCCTGTATGCGCTGGTCCGTGGTTGCAATCGCAGCGTGCCCTGCATGGAGATGATTGAGATCATCGTCAAAATTCTTCTGAACATCACCAAGGTAGGTCTTGTTCACACTCCATAAAGGACCGGGGAAAAAAAACTCTGGGGGAAAACCCACATATTTCAATTGTAAATGAATGGTGATTGGGCCTGGAGGGAGAAAAGTAGCTGCATGCTACAAGGTTCCCTTATTGCATACTTGTCTCTGTGTTTTAAAACATGCAGAAATGTAGAGCTCTGTAATCTTATTTTGCTGTAGCATTTTTTCTTCTTCTTTCTTTAGGCTGTTTATGTGAATAAGGCTTTTGAGTCATTCCTTATCATTTTCTTCTTCTTAGATAAACTCCAGTACTGGTAAAAAAAAAAAAAATAATTCTCACAGAATCAAACGAAACTTACACTGAATGTTCAACATTACAAATAAATGACATGTGCCAAACAATTTTGGAAGAAAATGTATACTGGCTGAGTAATGAGCACAGAAAGACAAGGAAATCAAGGTAGTACTAGCCCCGACACCATGTGTGTTGTCCCATATATAGCTTTCTATGTGAGTGCTTGTTACTTTACCAAGACTCGGTCAAATTTATTATGATTTTGATGACTCCAGAACCTTGCAGTGCACACCAATACTTACATGCTACATGATCAACTGTTTCTGATCCTTTCCACACCTTTTCTTTCACAATGCAATCGCATTACCAGTACTAAAGTTTATCTTTATGCAAATACCCCCTCCCCCACCCCCAATCACAATAATAATCACCAAAAAAAAAGGTGATGGTATAGCAAAATGATAAAGGAAGGGATTTGGAAACATATTCCTCTGTCTAAAAATGGATCAAGTCAAATAATGATAATAAACCGTTTTTGTATAGTGTATATCACATTATGATGTAATGTCTCTGTGCCCTTCCAAGAATATTGGATATTTGCAGGCCAAAAAAATTACAAGGTTAAATTCCAACAGCATTTAAAAGTAAATACAAATATAGAACTTCCCTTAAAACAGGGAGGCTTGAAAATGTCTTTAAGTTGGAAAATAACGACGATTAGTTGTCAAATCGACTTAACCCTATTTTAACTGGGCTATTTCAGACCAGGTTTTTACTGGGGGGGGGTCAATTTGACCCCCCCCTAAGATCTCGGCCGTTTCACCGCCGATCGCCGCGAAAATTTGCATGCATGTCAAGTGAAGTGTATAGAATACTATGGTAATTTCAAATTTTTGAAAAATTCACTCATTTGCATATTTATGGTAATTTATGCAAATAAGGTCATCAAATTCACATTTCTGCCCATAAATCATAGATTATTCATGTTTACGTATTCTTTTTCACCACATATATTTATTAGACCATTTGGAATAATAATACAACACAAAAAATTGGAAGAGCCAGGTTATTCCTTATGTTATCTATTGTTTTTATAATTTCTTATGTATTTCATTGTTTTTTTAACTTATGTATTTTATTGTTTTTGTTGTTTTATTTCATTTATAACTACAATTCAACTATTTTGACCCCAAAACAAACATCTAAACTTTAAACAAGACTGAATAACCAATGTTTTATCTATTTTTAGGGAAAATGACTTTTACATATGTTTTGTACACAAATCACGAAAATGAGCGATTTTCGGGCTGACATGCAAAGACAAAAGGTCACGTGACCTTGTAACCGTAGGTCCGATTTTCAAAAAAATTGTTTTAAAAGATGCGTAAGACTCGAAAGTAAAAAGTCATGAAAGGAAAATTTTATATCTGCCGCGGTTTCGGAGTAGTCGCGAAATTTCTACAGGGGGGGGTCAAATTGACCCCCCCCCAGTTAACGTAGGGTTAAGAGCTATAGAGCCAGTAAGTAATAGTCTGATTTTAAGACCATTGTACCAAATGGTCGTACATTTTAAGCTGCACAAAGATTCAATCAGTTTGATTTTGGCCATTACAAGAAGTGGGTTATTGATGTAGACAAATGCACATGTACCCTTTACAGCTCATTTTATGTATGTTATTACCAAAGAAGCCAGTTTGTCACTCAATAGTGTCTGACAGTGAAGTCTAGCAAGTTAACAGGTTTCCTTCATAATTTGAATAGCAGGTCACTGCTAACGTTTAAATTTCACAGATAGGACCTACATGACATATTCATAATTCCTACAAAGCTCTACAGAATTTCATGTTGGCTGCAAAAGGACATAGTATCTTTAATGCACTAATACCCTTAGGTTTGGCATTCAATCATCCTCAATTCAATCTTTTCTCTTCCATCAATCATCCAGCACGATTCTACCCAGCATGCAGTGCTTGACGCGGAGGAAGCAGTCATTACCCTGCTGGACCTTCTTCAGATCTACCGTGAGAAGAATGCCCTCATCTTCTGCAAGACGTGCGTCATTCTCGGAAAGCTGCTTCAAGATGCCACCGAAGCACAGGTGAGTTCTATCATTTGATTCTTTAGAAATGTCTGTTAAATTTGTTTTTCTTTCAGGCTCGAAGAACTAATATGTGAATGTAATTTCATTAAGGCTTGTTTAGATATGTACAATTCGTTTACACATTCCTTGCTGGGTGCTACAGTCTAATTAACTTTAGGACTCGGGGTAAACAAACATCTACTTAGAACTCTTCTGTGATCTAATGTTGTAGGAAGTGATGATGGACGATCCACAGCACTTGTACGGGGCCATTTATCTGTTTCAAACATTCAAAGGCGCCCACTCCTCAAATAGACATGTGTTTTGAGGCCTGACTAGCTCACCATCTTTCATCTACCTTTATAATCCTCCTTTCTCTCTACAGATCATTCTCTCATGCCCCAAGACCAAGGAGAAGATCGCGTCGCTCCACAAGCTTACCTCTCGCAAGCACACCATGGATGAACGCCGTACCAAGACCAAGAAGCTCAACGCTTCTTCCTCCTTCCTCAGTCAGACATTCAACACGAGCTCCATCGCGGCGGCGTCCTTTGCCGCGGGAACACCTCGCAAACGTCGCAAGGTCCTCGCCCTGGCCGGCGCGGAGTGGAACATCGAGGACCCCATGAGGGCGATAGACTTCCTGAAGCTGATGGCCGACAGAGTCTGAAGAAGTCTCGTGCTCGAACTCGAGGCTTGATTTTCCTTCCCCTTCTCTCTTCCAGTACATGTACGTACAGTGTAAATACTCGTTCAAATATGACGCGGCAAAACTACAGCAATTAACAAACAAACAAAATGAAGATTATTTGAAGTGTAATACCATTCAAATTTCTCTTCTTGTAAGACTGAGCTCAGTGAATATGTTTAAAGGGGAAGTCCACCCTGAAATTAAGTTAGTTTTAATAGGAGTAGAAAAATGAGAGAAACAAGTCAGTGAAAGTTTGAGCAAATTCCGATTAAAAATAAGGAAGTTAGGATTTTTGAAGTTGTGATCAATCAAACACAAATTGGCAACTCTATGACGTATCATGCGAGCTCAACTTCCATTTGCTCAGTACTAAAAAAATCTAAAATTTTCATTTTCCCTCAAGAAAAATTCAACCATACATGCACCCTAAATATAATAATTGCAAATATGTTTCTATACTCCCCCTGCAAGGAACAAATATATATTCCGTCATCAATAACAAAGAAAACATGATTTTATGGAATATTATGCACAAAGCAAATGAAGGAGAGCTCGTATAATAAGTCACAGAGTTGCCAATTTGTATTTGATTGATCACAACTTCAATAATTCATAACTTTCTTATTTTCATTCAGAATTTGCTCAAACTTTCACTCACCTGATTTTCTTATTATTCTGCCTCTATCGAAACGAACTTATTTTGGGCGTGGACTTTCCCTTTAAGTACTTTGTTGTGCACAGTTGCCATTCATTTTACATGCATGAAAATGATGACAGCTTTATTTGGGCGGTTTAATTACCCCACCATATCTGGATAAGCCTTAAAATTTGATTTCTTTTTCATGTGGTCAATGAACTCGTTATCTAATTCATGTTTTATATAGACTTCAACCTTGTATCCTTCTTTCTGGGGTAATATATTTCTAAAACTGCAAAATGTAAAGCATCATGTCAAAGTGTATTGACCATTCAATTCAAATCATTATTCAAATATTCAATTCAATCTAACTTTTAATTTAAAAGTGTTGTTTTTCAGAAGTCTATTTACTAGTGTAAAAATTGATATTTTTCCTTTGACTGGAGGTTATTGTATTTACTAAAAAATCAAGATTTCTTTCAGAAAACATTAGTTTCATCACTTTGCGCTTAAGGCCTTGATTAGATAGACATGACGCTGCAAAATGGGAGCCGTCGTTTTATGAAGATGTAAGAAGCTTCACAATCCTCCTGCGTCTTATATTTAACAGTTAGTTGCCCCTCATTTTGTTTGTGGTGGTTTACTGTGTCTCATCTTTTTTTATTCTTTTCCTGCTGATTTGGGAGGAATATTATGCGATTTTGCTTGCTTAAATTTTGAACAAAATGGTTACTTGAAGTCATGAACCTGTGGTATACTCGGTCAAACTTTGTTCAAATGGTGGATAGATGTATCATATATTCTGCTACGGTGGAACCTTGGTATAAAGAGCCCAGATTCTATAAAAAGTTACCTTTTACAACAAGGTGATTTTGCTAGTCCCAGCTCTTTATATGCTCTTGTTTTTTTACCCTGATATAAAAAGGTAATTTTCATGGTCCCTAGGAACTTGTTATAATGAGTTTCAACTGTATAATGTTTTAGATATGATAATTTTGTTTGGTGGGCGGCAGCTGTTCTATTAGAGTCATACAATGTATTCAAATTGCACCTTCTTTGTTAAAAACGAAACATCTGATTCAAAATCAAGTCTTCACAGTGTAGATCAAATTTATGCTTGAAGTTTCCATATAATGTTTGTTGAGGACTTGAGAGCCAGAGTATATGAGATAATGCCTTTCTGTCTTCAAGCAGACGATATGTAATTGATAGATGTATAACTGTAAGTCTGTAAACAATGTTGTAAGATAGATCATAAAGAAATAGTAGTCAGTTTTGTATATGATGTTTTGTATGTTACGAGCTCTCCAAGTCTTTTTGCTTGAAACTGATCAATATGATAATGTGTACCAATGCTTAAAATAATAAGTGGCTATTTTGTAACAGTAGCGTACAATGTAAGCTATTCAAAGTGTACATATATCGTATAAGCCTGTTCCATCTTAGAACATGTAATAACATCGATTATGGATTGGAAACTAACAATGGATACTTCCAAATCGCTTTTTGTCATATATGCAAGATAATGAATTTATTCCAAATCAGTTTACACATTCAATTCATATAAATTGTTCTGTAATGTTTTGTACAGAAAGAGATTCTATCCTCTCATTGTAAATAAATGTACATGTACTTCAAAAGCAAGTACTATGATGCAGCAACTGCATATAAAATGATTGGATTCTGGTACAATGAACTGAATTTGTCCCTTGTATTTTTTTACTTTGAATACTGTAAAAAAAAAAAACCTCAATATATAAACTTGTGTTTTGTATGACTTAGATATAAAATCCATATTTCTTTTATTGAATTTTCTCTCTTCTTTTAATATTCAAATGCA